GGCGGAATCCGCGTTGCATCGCCGTACCTTGTCAGAATAGACGTATTCTAATTCCAAGGACATTGCTCGACTCAGCTTGGCGAGCATCATCCGGTGTATAGATGTGCCGCAATCTGTCGGGGTAGAAGGTATATTGTTATCAGTAGGTTTTCGCTCAGGTTTGCAGATTTTCTTGGTTGGATTGTCCTGTGTGCTGATACTAATAATGATTTGCTGCCGATGGCACATCGTGGGAATACTCTAGGAGCATGGTAGCGAGTCACTCTGATGGGTTTCTGAAATCAGCTCAAGGTACAATACCGCTTGCTGAATCTGCAAAATTTCAATGAACGTCGCGAAAATCCGAAAGTTTCACGAAAGTTTGCGACTTACTCGGAATCCCGCGTCATTCCAGGAGTTTCGCGAAATCACCGCGGATTAATGGGAATCACGCAAATTACGCGGCACCATAACTTCCTTCCGAATTAATATAATCTGAGTCTGGTAGCAACTTCGCGTTCAACTCGTCAAGGCAAATCTTTTGATGTGCGGCATGCCCTCGATATTCCGCTTCCATTTTTCAAAATTTTCTGCGAATTTCCTTTCGCATAGATGTAACACTACATTAGCGCTTATCCAACACAAAAAACTCCATTAAGTACTATTTGATAGTGCCGTTCTTGTCGGTTATCGTGCGCTAATGTAGCCGCAAACTTTCTTCCAAAAAAGACAGAAGCGTTGATAAATTCTGGAAAAATCACGCGTCTCCAAATTCTGCTCGCCGTAACTTTCTTCGGAATTAATCTATTCCGAATCAGAAAAAGGGTTGTGCTCAGCTCATCAAGGTAAATTTTTCGATATACAGCACATCCCTTATAATCCAATTTCAGTATTCTTGAATTTTTCTGCGGACCTCTCTTCGCAGAGGTGTAAAGCAGCGCGCATTGTCCATTATAGTCTACAGCAAGAACCGTTTGATAGTACTTTTTTTTGCAAATTGTAGAGCGCCAAAAAGTAGCCGTAGGCCCCTTTCCAAGGAAGATAGAGGGGTTGGAGAACTGTGGAAAAATCTTGTATTGTCAAATTCTATTCATAGCATTAGAATACAAAGCTATCTTGCTAAGCAAATGTGAATTTCGTAATCAGCAGGTCTGATAACCCCTATGAGCAAGTTCCACAGAACTTCGAGTTACTCGATTTTTTTCTCGTTTCACGCTCGTCAGTGGGTTTTGGTCAAAATGTTAATGTCTTGGTTTGAAAGGAAACTCCTTCATAGAGGTTTTAGAACACGCTGTTTATGAAAATCGTGGTCTCTGTCGAATACAGAGTCTTTTTGCAGAGATATGGTGAGGTAACCGTAACGGAGTTACGAAAGCTCGTAATTTCGCACGCACCTATTGCGTACCTGTCAGAAAACTTGCCTGCCTTCTTTTGAAAGTTAAAGTTACTAGGAACTGTGCTATCGAATAGCGCATGCCACAGGCTCCAATCTGTAACAGTCGCCGATTTACAAGCCAACGAGAACACGTCATCATGCATTTTGCCCAAAATGTTAAGATGGCATACTTTGTCGAACTTCCACCTTCAGACCCTGTAGAACCCTAAACCTGTAGAACCCTGTACCCTGTAGACCACCCTGTAGAATATGATGGGCAATGCGCGCTGCTTTACACCTCTGCGAAGAGAGGTGCGCAGAAAAATTCAAGAATACTGAAATTGGATTATAAGGGACGTGCTGTATATCGAAAAATTTACCTTGATGAGCTGAGCACAACCCTTTTTCTGATTCGGAATAGATTAATTCCGAAGAAAGTTACGGCGAGCAGAATTTGGAGACGCGTGATTTTTCCAGAATTTACCAACGCTTCTGTCTTTTTTGGAAGAAAGCTTGCGGCTACATTAGCGCACGATAACCGACAAGAACGGCACTATCGAATAGTACTTAATGGAGTCTTTTGTGTTGGATATGCGCTGTGTTACATCTATGCGAAAGGAAATTCGCAGAAAATTTTGAGAAAATGGAAGCGGAATATCGAGGGCATGCCGCACATCAAAAGATTTGCCTTGACGAGTTGAACGCGAAGTTGCTACCAGACCCAGATTATATTGATTCGAAAGGAAGTTATGGTGCCGCGTAATTTGCGTGATTCCCATTAATCCGCGGGTGATTTCGCGAAACTCCTGGAATGACGCGGGATTCCGAGTAAGTCGCAAGCTTTCGTGAAACTTTTGGAATTTCGCGATGTTCATTGAAATTTTGCAGATTCGGTAAGCGGTATTGTAGCGGTATTGTACCTTGAGCTGATTCCAGAAACCCATCAGAGTGACTCGCTACTAGCACCTAGAGTATCCCCACGATATGCCATCGGCAGCAAATCATAATTAGTATCAGCACACCGGACAATCCAACCAAGAAAATCTGCAAAACTGAGCGAAAACCTACTAATAACAATACCTTACAACTATACCTTCTACCCCGACAGATTGCGGCACATCTATACACCGGATGATGCTCGTCAAGCTGAGTCGAACAATGTTCTTGGAATTAGAATACGTCTATTCTGAAGCAAGATATGGCGATGCAACGCAGATTCAACCGCATCTAGTGGAATCGTACTCTCCGCTAGAATGCGGCGACTTTTTTGACAAATTATGAGCGGTATTGCGGTTTTTCAGTATTCTTCAGAGTATTTTTTCTTGAGTCTTCACTTTTTAAAAGTTTTGAACACGCAAACGCTCAAAACACTATTGAAACTATGAAATTTGATTTCGACTATGATTGGGCACTGTTTTCAGAAAGCATGTGAAAATTTGCTTCGGAATATCAAATCTTCATTAATGCTTCTACAGCCAAAGACTTAATCAAAAGTATGTTTACCTCCGAGGGCCTTAAGAATCAGGGTAAAGAACGCTTACCAGAAAGAGAAGGAAAAACTGCATCGAGTGCGTCCTGGTTGTGCGCCGTCTCCTTGAGGTTTGAGAAGCCAGCTATAGTTGCCAAAAATGCGCTGTGTTGTATTCGTTTATATTAGGTCAAAGTAATTTCGCTTTATTCAAACGGGCGCCACATTTAATTAAACAAAAAAGTCCAAGAGATCTTGGTAGCATTTGATGTAGCCAAATCCTCTATCTAACAGTAATGAAGTTGTTGCAATACAGTCAATGAGCTTTCAGAAAAAACCAAAATCTACAACCCATGCTTTTTGAGCTGTCAAGTTTCACATTTTTCTTTCAAAACTTTCATATAATTCTCAGAAGGAATTTAGATGGAGATTCGATAGAGCAAACTTTAAATACAGCACAACTTTTTTCTCTTTTTCGTAACTCGCCGTAGTTTTTTAAAAGATTTCTTAAACAAAACTATTGGATTTTGGCATCCTAAATCAGCCACAATCGCATCAAACATCATAATTATTCGGAGTTTGGGACTACAAAGATGGTACTATAAATTAGCATTAACCTTACAAAGCAAATGAGAGAGGGTTCGAAATGTGAAATTTCGAATCCTCCGAGTCATACCTTCGATACATAGAGCCACGTACTCTGGTAACCTTCACTTTGAGGGCTATGAGGGGACACAACCTTCACCTAGGAAAAAACGGAAGTCATTCGGGGCTTCGCCCCGGATGTTATTATAATTATATCGGAACGAATGTTAATGAAGCAAATATAGGGAATAATATCTTCAGCTTATCTCAGCGAAACCGAGAATTTGCGTTTTCATAGCCTTTTTTATCTTGAAAAAAGCTTTCCGTGGGATTTTCGCCAGAATCCAAAACAAAATTTCTTAGTTAACCTCTCACTTAAACAAAATCGAGTTGCAGAAGTTTAGGAAAGCTATTGCAGTTAAATAAGAACGAGAAACTGCGCTTAAATTTGCGCAGAGAGTCGCGAACGAAAACGCTGGTCGATCTCGTTAATGAGTGATTTTCAAAGCTTGGGACGTTGTCAGTTCTCCTCGTCGTGTCATGGCGATGGGAATGATATATAATGTTGCGGGGTTTCGTTGAGACCCCGCGAAGATCTACGACCAGAGCCAAATGCCCCGTCGGCTCTGGTCTGTCTCCTTTGCTCGTCTGCGTCTCCGCGCGCTGCGCGCTATCTCGCTATTCCAAACGCGGGGCGCGGGGCATTTGGCTCTCGTACCCTTTTCTTCTCTGTTTCGAACCCAGATTTAGCAAGCTATATATCATTTTGAAGCTCCTGATCTCTATTTTCACGCTGACAACGTCTCAGAACCACATTTTTTGATTTGATCGAGAAATCTGGCGAAAACTTGTTCTCAAAAATCTCTTGTATTTCTCCTAGTTTAACTATTTTCATGCAGTTTTTTCATGCATTCTATAGATCTTGCTTCTGTTCATAATGCAGACAACCACCCAGCCTTTGTCTCTTCGATTTGTGGAATTTTTCGCGAAAAATCGTAAAAAGTGCATTTTTCTTTACCTTGTTACGTTTCAGTGCTTTCGCATCGATTTTTCTCCAGCTTGGGCAATTGTTGCTCAGAGCAATAAGCGCAACAATCCAGACAACGTCCCAGGAAACAGGAACGTCAATGCGGGGGTAAAAATTTAAAGGACGCATCAAACGCATCAAAAATCAAAACCCGTGTTGCGAATTGCTGGTCCTGAAGCGAAAACTTGCACTTTGAAAAGCCGCCAAATGAAAGATTTCAAGCCTCATTGCAGCGTTTTTATCCGGTTTTCAGCAGTTTCTTTAGCTTTCTACGTCTGTTTTATGTCACTTTCTCTTCTCTGATCATCTTCAAACAACCTTCACTATTTCTGACGTTAGATGTTCAAACAACCTTCACTTTTGACGCCGTGTTTCTAGGCTATCGAAGGTATGCTCCGAGTACAGCCTGGAGCTCGTTGAAAAAAATGAGTTATGATGATTTAATTCCCGAAAACTAAACGAATCGGAAACAAAAAACACCCTCTAGGCAGAGAAGAAAATGTTGCATCGAATAATGCTCGAGCTGCTCTTCCTTTGATGTTCTACGAGGATTTAGCTGTCCAAGTATGGAAATCGGTACCATCAGTTATAATTCTGATAAAAATATATGACAACCAATGGAAAGGAAAAAAAGTTGTTTTGCATTCTGTATGGTTTGCTCTATGAAAAAGCTTGTACTTTTTTGGAATATTGATATAAAAGATTAGAAAAATTGTGAAACTTGACTATCTCAAAAGTGTAGGTCGTAGATTCTGGTTATTTTCCGAAAGCACATTGACTGCTCTGAACGTTTCAATTACTGTTTGATAGAGGATGAAATGCTGCATCGAGTGCTTCCAAGATTTCTTGGAAATCTTTGTTCCATCAAATATGGCGCCCGTTTGGAAAAAGCGAAATCACTTTCGGAATGACCTAATATATTCAGCTTTTACTGAAGAGTTTTCAATAGTCTTAAAAGGAGATAGCTAAAGTAACGATAGTAAACATGGAAAACCTGACGTTGATTCAAGCGATTCAAGAACTTGAGAAGATTTTCTGCATTGAAACTGTCTAGTACACCTGTCTTCAACATGAAGGTGGTAGTTTGAAAATATGAAAATTCATGTGATGGGTCCCATCGAGATTACCTTCCTTCCAGTTGTCCACCTCAAACAGTTCCAACTAAATCGAAGAAAATTGGCACAGCTGCCATTCAAGTAGTTTTGCATAAATTGCTTAGTCATACGGAGGTTGCTTATGTACATGGCAGATCATTGTCCTGTCATTGTGTTGGTTGTGAACAGAAACAGTAGCCATCTTGTTATGCAAGAAGAATTAGCTTATTTCAGAAACAAGGCAACGACGTTCAAAAACAACCACCACTGCCAGTATCCGGAAACTTCAAAGTGCTGAAACTTGGTCCAAAGAGGTTATTTAATATATGCTGGGTCAAAAGATTCTTATAATATTTAATAGAGCCTCTTTGTCATGCTTTCGGTAGGCAAGCGGTAATTCAGAAGGGTTTTATTGAGATAGGGCAACATGCTGTCGTGCGTCTTACCTCTTGCTTGAACATTGCTATAAACAAGACATTTGGTTGGTGGGGAAGAACTTTGAAATTTTGTATTGTGCGAGATCTTCCTAGAGCATATAAATGACCTTGTTTTGAACCGGTGAGGATGCGCGGATAAACAATCTTTGATATAGGTTGCGTTCTATCGTATTTCTCGTCAACTTATCGGGGTTGCGCCTAGAATTCGCTAAAAATGTACACCCCCTTCGCTTTCTCTTCGAAAAATAGTATCCAGCTCGACCCGCTACAGCTATACGCTACAATGAAGTTTACAGCAATTCCAAGCTTGAAAGCAGGTAGGGGACAAGACCCGGCACGAGTCAGTCTTTGAAGCATGAAAAGAAGTTCCCCCTGGCTGTCAAAAATTTCACATAGTCTCCTTTGGCCCACCTCGGATACTTATCAACTCAGGAGAAAATAGAACAAAAATAGTCACTAGTTTGCTGAACACTATGCATGAGCAAGAGCTTGGCATTGGAGCGCGATTAGCAAAACGATTCATGAAAAATGAAACAAAGGGAAGGCAGCGATATGAAAGTGTCTCTAAGCTCAGGGAGAGATTGTTGATCGGGGATTCTGTCCATAACAGAAAAATTCAAAGTTATTTGAACTTACAAAAATATATGCTCCATTTGATCTCAAATGGCCGTCTAAAAGCAGATTAAATTGGGAAAGATACTACTTCAGAAAAGTTTTCAAAATTTTTTTACACAATTTTTCCGTCAATAATAATCTATGCCTACACATTCAGTGTCGCGCTGCAGACATACAAGTCTTCAACGGTGACTCTGCTTTCAAATAGCGTGCGCTTTCAGCAAGACACAATGGAGCACGCCCATCGTGTAATAACCTGTCTATCCACTTTCAGAGTGACTTCGTACTATCCGGAAGTTCCGAAACACTTCCAGCAGGTTTCGAGAACTGTGTGGAACTGCGTCGGAATTGTGCTGCATGGGCCGCTTTCCCTTTCAATGAGGAAAGTCTCGATCTTGAAACAAGATTGGAGAAAAGCCGTTTCACTTTCAAGTATCGGAGGGAGATGTGCCTCCGTGCTTTCATCTATTTTCTCTCTGTTATTTCGTTCAGAACTAAATTGTCTGTTTCAGGAAGCCTTTGTTTGGTTCCACAGCCATCTGTCTTGCGCTAGGGCATGCGAAAATTCCCAAAATGCGAAAAAAACTTTTCTTTAGTATACTGATTAGCTCGATTCTAGGCATTCTCATCCTCTTTCCTTCTTCCATATCATTGCTTATCTATTTTCTCTTCCACACGCTTCTCCTTGTGACCAGAAAAGCTGAAAACCTAAAGCCGGGCTGAAGAATAATTGCTGCTCTGGGAAGAGCGGTCTTCGTGCATCATCCATCTCTTTGTTATTTTTGTTTAGACGCACATCATTTGTGCTAAAAAGCTGTCTTTGTCCCGTGAAAAACAGATGTAGTACTATGTAGTGGCTTCCTGGAACACAGCAATTCGCTTCACAATCGAGGCTCTATCCAAACAAAAGGGAAAGCGGACCAGAAGAATGAGACCGAAATGAGTGAAATTTGAGAGAAAAACCGTTGAGAATGGTCAAAAAATCTCTAACTTCCGCCTCTCAAAATTGTGTGCGGATGGGTGCAGAACAGCAGCACAGTTCTAGAACTGTGCTGAAGCTGTTACGAAATTTCCGGATCAGTAAGAACCCCATCTAAAGTTTGTGCTTGACTGATTGGTCGCTTTTGGAAGTACAAAAGAAGTGGTGAATTGTCTTGCGTATCGTGTGCAGTCTTCCTCCACGTGCTTCGCTAGTAATGCCTTTACCCCGAGTCTGCCCCGGACCGCGCAAAAACGATATCCTCTTTGCTCGCCACGCTTGAACAATTACCTCAGGCCTAAAGCATACTTTCGATTCCCTCGAATCGCTAACTCTCCGCTACTTATCGATTTGCCAGATGTCTACAGATTGAGAGTGCGCGAGTCTCGAATGCATAGGCGCGCAGTCCGATAACTTGTAGCAAAAACATCAAGTCCGGCCCAAGCAAAGCGCATGCGTCTTTTGAGAACCATCTTCCTATATATGGTGATTGTTTTGTTGGACTAGAAAGAATCTATGACTTTCTGTTTTTAGTCATTCAATATTTCACCTTCGACTTCATCAATCGATGCTGCATACTTTTCAAATCTTGAGTAAAGGCATAAGAGTTCGAGAGGTCCATGATGTCATAACTTTCTAATTCCTCAAATATCCCTTGTTTTTGTAGATCTTTGTTTTTTTTAGAGTTTTGAGCTTTCAAAAATAAAAGACTAAACCTAGGTTTCTTTCGCCCTCTTTGCCCTAAATGCACGATCAACTACTTATTTCAGAAGATTGTGTTACGGAACTCTTTTCCAAACAAATTTCAAAAGAATCTTAAACTAAAAAATCTTTGCAAATTTACGTAGTCGACATCCTTCCGCGCTTTAATATTGAACAAAAGGTAACTGCAATTTTTCGCATTACAAAGCAAGGAAGACCCAATACTATTCTTTATTCATACTGTAGGTCTTTTTCACTTTCTAACGGTACAAATTGGAGGATACCAAAAATGGGAATTTTTGCAACCCGACAAATTCTCTCGAACTGAAGAGTTTTTTCGATAACAGTAATACAAAAGCATATGTTGTGCAATCGTTAGCACGCAAGTTTTCACGCAATACAATACTCAGGTTAGCAAGCTTCCGGAGCGAGCTGATTGCCGCTCTTGCAGTCGTTAGCAGCAGCTTGCGCCGGTTACTGCGTCCGCAGCCGAAGTGCAGTGGATCAAATTATCGTGCAGTGCGGAAACTCATTACTCAACTTTTTATAGTTTTTCTGCAACCCTTTCTTCGGTTTTTTGTTATAGAGTGGTTTCAAGGTACAACTTCTTGAATAATGGTTTTTCCAAGTTTGATACATCGCCGTTGAGGATGCGCGAAATGTCGTCTAAATTCAACTGCAGTTTACAAATTAAATTGTTCATTACGTTTTTTCCTCAGTTTTCACTAGCTCAAGTTTTATGCTTTCCGTGAGTAGTATGGTTTTGGAAGCTACTGATAAGGATGTAGTACTGAGGAGCATTTGTGCAAACCTATAATGATGCATGGACGTAAGCATGGAAAAAACCCCAACGACAAATGTGAAACGCAAACGTGAACGGGTTATCTACTTGTAATGTTGGCGTCCATTTCCTTTTTCATTTTTGTGTTTCGTTTAAATCTCACATTTGCTGTAGACGATGCGGTCTTTTCAAGCCCACGTCTATGCATCATCATGAATTTGCTCAAATGCTCTTCATCGTCGCATCCAGTTTTTCGAACCACATCATTCATGAAAAGCATATTGGAGCTCAGTGATAATAGAAAAAAAAAGACGAAGAACAGTTTACTTTCTCCAGCTGAATGTAGGTGATACTTAGTGCATCTGTTTTGAAGGCAATGCTTCAAACCTTGAAGTTACCATTATCTAGATAGTTGCACCTCGAAGCAGCTGGCACGCACTCTGAGTGTCAATAAACGGCATACAGGTAGTGCAGCAGCGGACGAGCTCACGCTGGCACTTCAATTGTAGCGATAAATGGCTCAAGTTTGTTATTCCTTATTTATGCCTTATGATAAGGCTTTTGCTATTTTTAAGGATGGAAATAAACAACAATTGCATCGCTATAAACACGCGGTAGTGTTTTGAGTGTTAGTGTTCTGAGCTTAATTCAACATGTAAAACATGTAAGCTTCTATGAGTGATGTAGGGAAAAAACTTGGATGAAAAGAGCAAATTTTGAGTTATTTTCATCTTAATTTCATAAAAGAGTGAGGGCGGGCTATTCTGTTCTGTTCCGCTCGAGCAGCTGACAGCTAGCTGCTAGCAAAGCTATCGGTATTTTCACCATTACTAGAAGACTGGATCTATGAGTTTGTTTGCGTGACGCACATGCGCCAGAGACAACGGCTTGACCCATGCGCTTCGCTGCAAAAACGGCCCGGCGTGAGAAACGAAACGACGCAGTATGGAGGCACCCTTGTGGTTTAGTATATCAGATTTTGATATATTAGTTTGGCACGAAAGTTTTTTCGCACCATTTGCTATCGCACCTAGGCGGATACAAAAAAAGTGAAGAAGTGCAATTTGATAAAGCGAAGCAGAAAATGAAGATACTGCCGGTTTCCTACCTCTATTAATACTAGCCCTGTTCTAGCAGGAGAGCAAAAGATCTGTAACTGCTTTCCGGCCAATGACTCAAAAGAAGAGTTCGGACGAAATACTCGTTTGAATTTTTGATGCGATTTAATAGGTCTCTCCTTAATTGAACCCGTATGCACCAACATCCCCGCGTTGGCTTCTTATCATTGGAAAGCGGATCTGTATTCTGTCTTGCTAGCAGGACATTCGACAGTAAAGAAAGTATCGCTCGCTGAAGGTTTGGACACGCCCCAAAATTCTGGTGACCGCCTGCGAGAGAACGCGTGTTTGCGTGTTTGGACCGCCTGCCCCCGCGATTATCTGAGTGTGATAAGGGCTCTTATTTCCGAGTAAGCCCAGCACAAGTTTAAGCCTTAGCGTAAATATAAAAGGTCGTTCCATAAGTTCGTAGCGTTTTTATAAACCAACAAAATCATCAATTTACAGTGAAAATCAATCAAAATTATATTCCTCGTTGTAGCGCACGATCTTTTGGCACATTCTTGTTAACTTCTCAACCTCAATTTTTCAAACGGCTGCGCGCCGGGTCCTAAGAAAGTCATCTAATCAGCGCTCAAACTACTTACTGAAATCGAGGCAGGCACCATTCATGAGGTTTGCCAAAGAACGGAGCAGATAATAATCTGATAGAGCGAGATTTGAAGAGTATTTTGTGTACTGAAGTCAAGTCGTGCAGGACAGTTTTGACGACGTTTGCCGTATGAGGCTATGTTTCGTTACGCAGAAAAGCTCACTGGATCTGCCTGTTGGGCTTTTTCTGCGGTAGGACCTGGTTTAGACGGTGCATTTGGATTGCCTACGGTATGGTTGACCATCGCCTATCCGTACAGCAATTTTCAGTGCAGGACGTCCTGCCCGTCCCCCGAAAAGTCTTGTTCAGGGACATCCTGCTCAGCCCCTGATCTTTTGTAGCAATCCAATACCTTTTTGTCCCATAATGATGTGCGGCCGCCATGTTCCATAATCGACACAAAAATCTGTGCAAAAGCGTTTCTTTTCATGAGGAAAAATGCGTATATGCCGAAATTGTTCCTTTTTGCCTTTCAAGATTTCCATCTTTGGAAGCTGCGAGATCCGAGTGAATCAGCTTAGCACCGAAATCAGTAGGTGTATTTTAAAGAGCACAATCAGCCCTTTCAAATGATATACGCGTCTTGTCGCAAATCAACCGCTCTTCAAAGATATGAGAAGGAAAATGAAAACGCTACGAACTCATGGAACGACCTAATAAATCTAACTTGAATCAAGATGGAATCTAAGCTTAAACCTATACCCAAGCCTAAGCCTAGTAATAGTTTGCCGCTGGCTAGCCCCAAAAAGCGAAAAAAATTCTAATGCAGCAGTAGTCCACACGTACCGTGACAAGCTTTGATCTCGCATTTAGGTGCAGGAACAGAAAATTACTGAAAAATGTCGCTTTTAGAAAATGCACTTTTAATCGCATCTTCGCTGAAAACTCGAAAACAGAGACTGTAAACGTGGAACCCGTCTGCTTTTGACGAAAGCTGCTATTAACTTGTGAAAAAAGTTTAGTAAATTTTTTTGATGACTTCTCTCTCACTGAATATATCTTGTATATAGGTTACGGCAAAAAACCTCACATCATTACGGTTTGGATTAAAACTTTACCCAGGGGGTTATCCATGCGCATCCAAAATATTACTAACTTAGCGTGGTAGAAGAATACGATGCTGAATGAGGGTTTACCAAAAGCAGAAAGAGATGTTACTTTAACGCAATAATCGCTTACGGGTCAAGTGACCCCTATACGCAAGGTCTCGAAGAATTCCGAGATTTTGACTCCATAGTTAGGGAACGGCCATAGGTTGTTGGTGTTGTCGGGGTTGCCGAGGTAGACGGTAGTTGTAGGACCTCATGATAGCCTCCACGTTTCGCGCGCTCTCTAAACTGTCTCTGACCCCGACAACACCGACTACATCGACAACTCCGACAACACCGACAACACCGACAACATCGACAACACTGACAACACCGACAACCTATGGCCGTTCCCTTAATGACTGTTTTCCGCGAGTAGCCTTGCGCAAAGCAACTTGTTGAACTTCGTGGTGGGGGAAGGGGCAGATTTCGACTTGTCTTCGAGTTCATTTTTTATTGAACTGGATAATTCAACCTCTACTGAAAAATCGTGTAACTTTGGATTATTGTGTGTAGTCAAATTTTTTCCCTTTTGTTTAAATCACCAAGAAACCCTTGAACGAATTTCATTAATTTTCGAAAAATGCTTGGAATTTTTATATTGGTCAAGAAGTAAGCTGTTTGTGTTTTGTAGTACTTTGTAGCATTATAATATACACAATATCAAAGCGCGGAAATATCACAAAGCGAAAAGTGACGGTATCAGTTACAAAACTTAGTCCACAACCTAACAACGCCCACACGAACACACACGCCCACATAACTTCAAGATGAACAGCTTTTCTATCCAACGGCTATACAAGGAAATATACATCCATTTTTAGGTTTAGAAAATAATACGTCGAACGAGTGATTTCTCACGATTTTCTATATAAAAAACGTTCGCATTTCTTCGAAAATCACATTGTAGAGAGGGCTTTGACTTAGGTTTACAAAATGAAGCAAAACATTGGTTTCTTCACTACTGTAGAATATCAGTATGGATTTTCAGCCCACAGCGTCAGTGTAGATAGCCGGATTGAAAAAACTCCAAAATCTGAAATAGGTCATGCACGCTGACTTCATTACTCAGCTTTTTACGAGTTTGAGAAGCTTTTCAAACAGTGTGTCACGTTTTTACAAACCACAGTTAAAACAGCTATTGTGGTTCAATTGGTAATATTTTTCAAAACAATGCAGAAAAGCGTAAATCACTTAGGGTCATCGGCTCTGATTAGCCTAGTGTAAAAATTTTCACGTCGCTTAGTTAGCTTTTCGAGGATAAATAGCGCCCTATATGGCTGCAAACTTTGTTCAGAATTCAGAATTCCAATTGTGATCTTGCAGTGATGGATAGCGACGGTGATTCATTCTATACTGCAAGGAAGCGGCTCTACAAAATGGCTTTTGAAAAAAGACAAAAGCTTTTTTATAAAAAGCTTTTAGAGATCGAACGTTTTATGTAATGTTTTGAAACACTCTTGTAAGGTCGGTGCAAAAGAATGAGCGTTTTTTTCTGCTGTAACTGCAGTATGAATGTGAGCGACATTCTTCGATAGAGCAAATTAACATTTACAACATGATAGATACTAGGAATCCGCGTGCATTATTATGTATGAAGTTCGAATAAAGAACTTAGAACTCTGAGTGACTCAAAAATTACAAATAAGTCCAGAAAAAATACAAACCTCCTTTTTGGTCAAAAGTAATAAACTCATCCAAGCTCTCGCTATATTTTATGGCTGTGAATTGAGAAAAAATATTGCCCGAAAGTGAAAAACACAATCGTGCGCTAGTTTCGCGTAAACAGTTGCGTTTCACAAAGCTTAAAAGTAATAACCGTAGGATTGTTTGTCCTGTGTGTGTGCTAATCATCGATATCGTATTTAGCAGCACAAACAATAAACCCGAAGCAACAATTTCGTACTTTTAGCTCAACTTATCTACTTTTAGCGCAAAAAACTTCAGCAGTTGCATTGATGTACAGTCGAGTAGATTTTTTGCTCAACATTGTGTCACTGCAGACGCGACAACGGTTGTGCGTCGATAAAGCCGTTACAAGTTTCAGTTAGTGTTTTGTGGTGTTTTCCTTGTTAATTCATTGCTTATTCTCAGTATCTAGGTGGAAGCTATTCGTCAGTTTTATGTGTATTTTTGGCTCTTTATCCCTCTTCGCGTCAGTTTCATGTGTATACTTTTGTCACCTATTGCCTCTTCCTTCTTGTGAAGCGTTTCTTTAACGCTAGTAGGCTTTTACATAAAACTTATCGTCTTTATCACACGAACTAAACGATGAGATGCTATCTTTCTCTGAAAGGAAGCCGAAGCTGCTGCACAGCTCGTAGGGTCTGAAGAAATACTTCACAAAAAGAAACAAACATGAAGTGACAGAGCATACGCATGTTGATGCGTGGCTTCCACGTAGATTACTTAAGAATAAGCGCTAATCCAATCACCAGAAAACAAAAAATACTTTTCAGCTTATCTTTTTCTCCTTCATCAGCAACCAGCTGGATACCTAAAAAGTAAAGAATAAGGAGAGAAAATACTAGAAAACATCGCGCGGAAGCTCGCAACGCTATTTATCGACGCACAACCGTTGCCGCGTCTGCATAAACACTATATTAAGCAGGAAATCTACTCGACTGCATTTCACTACATGTCTGCTATATGATGATCACATCGAAACTTTGCGAATTTTCTCTTCAATGATTTCTCTTGGTACTTCACGCATTTTCTATTTACACGGCGGCTGCCCAGAGCACGCTCGTTAGTTACTTTTGCACCAACCTTACAGTTTTAAATGTATGGAAATTGATGGCGAAGTTTCACAGCACTTAGACTGCACTAACTTTTCCTCAAAAATGCTGAAAACTGAAAAAATGGTTTTTTTTTCAATTTGATGTACACAAAGTCAAAACAAAAGTCCTTTGATCATAGTTTTGAAATCAACTTTTTGAGTCTTTCTAGTCTCACATCATTGTGTAACCTAGTATATTTTAGTTTACCAAGGATATGCTCGTATTTGCGCTGCTGATCTACTTCGTCTGCACAACATGGCACTTCTTGATGCCACCAGTGGCTCCAGTCATTCTTCTACCTGAGCGTCTGTTACTCTTCTATTGATGTCTTCCAATAGCTGTTTCGCATATTTTTTTTATAAATTTAGACTCGAACAGATTGTCCGCAGTTGAAGCTGGACGAGGTTTGCAAAGGCACTTATTCAAAGAATTAATCCGTGGAATGCCAACTTTACAAGCAATGCCACCAAGGAATATAACATCTGAAGTGCCACCAGGGAAAATCAGACAAGAGGAAGAGGCATTAGTGAAACTGAGTGAAGAGGGAAAGTTATCAGGGGAAGTGAAAAAAAGAGATCGATCTAGCAGAAGAAGTGAAAGAAAAAAAAGAGACATTAGTAGAAAAGAAGAAGGAAGAAAAGCCGCTTACAAGAACGTAAGAAGAAGGAGAGCTGGGGGAAATGCAAGAAGAAGGAATGCTTTAGGAGGAGGACAACTAGAAGGAGTGCTACTAGCAGGAGTGCTAACTAGACGAGCACATGCAAAAGAACCACCAGGAGAAACGCCAGTGGAAGGAGAGACACCAGGAGGAGGGACACAAGGAGAAGAATCACCAGGGGATGGATCACCAGGAGAAAAGCCAGAGGAAGGAGAACCGCCAGGAGAGCTACCTGGACAAGAATCGCCAGGTGAAGGACCATCAGGAGGGGCACAAGGAGAAGAATCACCAGGGGAGGGACCACCAGGAGAAAAGCCAGACGAAGGAGAACCGCCAGGAGAGCTACCTGGACAAGAATCGCCAGGTGAAGGACCATCAGAAGGAGGGGCACAAGGAGAAGAATCACCAGGGGAGGGACCACCAGGAGAAAAGCCAGACGAAGGAGAACCGCCAGGAGAGCTACCTGGACAAGAATCGCCAGGTGAAGGACCATCAGAAGGAGGGGCACAAGGAGAAGAATCACCAGGGGATGGACCACCAGGAGAAAAGCCAGAGGAAGGAGAACAACCAAGAGGAGAGCTACCCGAACAAGAATCGCCAGGTGAAGAAGTATCAAAAGGAGGGGCACAAGGAGAAGAATCACCAGGGGATGGACCACCAGGAGAAAAGCCAGATGAAGGAGAACCACCAGGAGGAGATTTACCTGAACAAGAATTGCCAGGTAAAAGACCATCAGGAGGAGGACTGCAAGGAGTGTTTTTTGGAGGATTTTTAAGATTAAGTCTAGGAGGACTAGGAGGAGGGCTAATATTAGGAGGAATGGTGACTGGGGGAGGACAATCAGGGGGAGAGCAACTAGGAGGAATCTTGAATGGGTTAGGGCTATCAGGAGGAGGACAACCAGGAGCAGGGTCAACAGGGGGAGTGCTAGGAGGAATGCTATTAGGAGGAAATCCATGTGGTTGTAGTGGAACACATGGTGGGTCACCAGTTGTAGGATTCTCAGGAAGAGGGCCATCAGGTGGAGGGCAATCACGAGGGGAGCCGCTGGGAGGAGGGCAAAGAGGACTGCTACAAGGGATGGCACCTTATCATAGTCCACCAAAGTTGAGACCACGAAAACGAACACCCACAGTTTCATCAGAAAAAAGAACACAACAAAAGCCCCTATCAGCAAAGCCATTAAAAACAGGATTACCGGGAGGAAGTCAACAAAAGAGAAAAAGTCAAGAAAAAAAAATGTCATGGAAACAAGACTCAGCGTATCAAACAGGAAAAAAAATTCCACCAAAGTCATTGAGCAAAATGCCACCAGTAAAAACATTAAAGGAACCAGCCGTCCCGAGAGGATTTGGAAAAAACCAAATAAGGATGTCATCAAAGAAAATGCCACAAGAACAGAAGCGAACGAGGAATTTGCCGCCAAGGAATCGTTCAACAATGAAAAGCTGGGACAAAGCACGGGAACGATCATCAGAAAAAATGCCACATAAACGACCAACATTAACTCCATCAGGGAAAAGAACACGAAAAGTTAACCGGTCAGGAGAGCCACCAGGAAGGTTGCCAACAAGAGAAAAAGCCAAGAGGGAATATTTTGGAAGGAGGTTTACTAGGGAGCCCGGAAGGGGAAAGGTTTCTACAAAGATTTCCGCAACAAATTATGCCAATGAGAAGAGAAGAACGGCAAATGCTGGCAGGAGGACGACTTTCGGTGGAAGGAATTCATCACGAGGAGTGAAACCGATACGAAAACTTTCACAAAGAGAAAATACGCGACCGAGAAGAAAGCACACATATAGCAAACCACTATTAGATCTACGAGGACAAACCCTACGTGAAAAAATGCTAAAAGAAAATCCCGGCAAGAGGGAATATTCTAAAAAGAGGTTTACTAGGGAGCCCGGAAGGAGAAAGGTTTCTAAAAAGATTTTCGCAACAAATTATGCCAATGAGAAGAGAAGAACGGCAAATGCTGGCAGGAGGACAACTTTCGGTGGAAGGAATTCATCACGAGGAGTGAAACCGATACGAAAATTTTCACAAAGAGAATATACGCCACCGAGAAGAAGGCACACATATAGCAAATCACTATTAGATCTACGAGGACAAACCCTACGTGAAAAAATGCTGAAAGAAAAGCCCGGCAAGAGGGAATATTCTAAAAAGAGGTTCAAGGAGCCCAGGAGTAAGGTCAACAAAAAGATTTCCGCAACAAATTATGCTGTCGAGCCGAGAACGGCAAATGCTGGCAAAAGGACTTTGGGTGGAAAGAAATCATTACGAGGAGTGAAACCGATACAAAACTTGATGGCTCCATTTTTACAAAGAGGAAAAACGCTATCTGGAACAAAGCAATTATATAGCAAAGCACCATCAGGAAGAGATCTACGAGGACAAACTCCACGTGAAAAAATACCACAAAGAGGAGGCAGAAATAGCATTTCAAATTTTTGGAATGCTAACAATAGAAAGAATAGCAATCCGATTCCAGGGAGTGCTTGGAGAAAGAAAGCTTCTGGGAGGCGTCGCTTAGGAATGAGTCCCATCACAGGCCCTACTTACGGGAAAAGTAATCAGCGGATTAACAAGAATGCTGGGATTGCCCCACGGGGCAATGCTTCTGGGATTAATAGGAGGCCTACTTACGGAGGAACTGCCGCGCGGATGAATCCCATGAATGCCGCCAAAAATGGTCTCACCCGGACCAATCCGTTTGGAACAGGGAAAGCTGGAGGAGTTATGCAAAGAACGAATACCAATAATTTTGCTAGGAGAAATCTTTCTAGGATGAGTGCAAGTAGCCTTTCTAGAAGAAATACGGGGATGATTACCAGGAGAAACTCCGGGAAAAACGCCGCTTCTAATCCGCTTAGAAATACGAGGCATAATTCTAAAGGAAATGTTCAGTTGACGAATAGACGTGCTCCTAGGGCAAGCGCCCGTTTTGGGAATACCTTCAGGTATATGCCTGGTAGTAGAAGACATGCTCGAAGGATGAAGTGAATGGTAAAATTTTTGTTGATCGTGTTCTTCTATGATTGCATGCTACAGTAAAACATTTAAGTATAGACTGAGACAGCTGCTAAAAGTTTTTTTATTTGCAATCTATCACTGTCAATCTTCTGTCAAAGAAAAATCACAAGGCTTCACAAGGCTTCGGTGATCACATACTCATATTTTATACATAAGAAAATATGCATATCATAAAAGACATATGCACTGTTTGTAAAATACAACAATATTGCCTACTAATATATACGAAAGCGTTTGACGCCAGCAGTTTGCTCATTTGCTCACTGACATTGATTGGAGCATGGCAAGGCATGTAATAAGTTTAAAGACAACGATTGAAAAAAGTATCGATAAAATGCGATAAAAAGTATCGTTGATTTCAAGGTAGAAGTCAAAGGTTGAACGAAACGATGAACTCAACTCGAAAAAATTCCAAGCACCCTTTGATTCAACTGGCTTGGCGGCTGGAAGGCGGGGCTCATGACCTAAGGCTAGATAAGGCTAGATATGACCAGAGAGCACGCGCGCTAGAGAGACGCAGACTGCCTAGCGGGCGCGAGGGGCCCTAATTAGGTCACAAAACCCGCCTTCCAGCCGCCAGCCAGTAAAGACCAAAAGTTAAGTTAGTTCTTCGAACACTAAAAATGTGCATTTGTCTTAACGTAACGGACAGATACGAACACATTAAAATATTGTAAACAACCTAGCCCCTGATTGTGAGTAATAAGTATGCACTCGTGAATCCAAATGAAGACAACAATTGAGTTGAGCAGCACTAAGAACGCGACTGTTTATATAGCCAGACTCAGTGGGGTGCCGCCCCCCCCCCCCCCCGCGAGAATGGGTCGCGAAATTCAAGATAGTTACTTATATGTTATAAAAATGTGCAATTGTTTTAAAAGGATAAAGGATAAAGGATTCGGCGTCTTCAATACCCTCTGAGGGCATGCACCGAGCGCACACACTAGCTTCATAGTCGAAGAGCCAAATGTATGCGTGCGAGTTTATTACAGTGACTTGCGGGGGCCAGCCGTTTCCAGGTCAGTGCTTTTATCCTCCCAGATTATTCTGGTACCAATTTACCGGCCCCGGAGGGTAGAGGGCTTGGTTGGCCTAGGGGCGGGGATCGAACCTGGGTTCGATCTGATCATAGCGGCGCCTCATACCACTACGCCACTCGTCCCCCGCAGCTTGTTTTTACTTGTAAAAATTTGATAATTCTGGAAACATTTCAAAAATTCATATCAGCCTTGTAAAAAATTTTTCTTGAGGCGTGACTGCCTCCACGACCCCTTTTCTCGTGGTTAGAGGCTCGCAAAAATTTAGGAAAGCATCCCAAAAAACATTCTCGGAATACGTGGCTAACACATCGCACTTTCATCCGAAAATTTTTTTGCCGTGCCCCTCCTCACAAAAGGCAATCTGGGTACGCCACTGGTTTGACTCTGTTGTCATTGTGACAGATACTTGGACAATATGTTTAGAACAAAGGTGAGAAGATGACGTCCAAAGTGGTGTTTCTTCCTATTCTCATCGGACGGATTCAAATCCGTGCAAACTCCTAGCACCGCTGCTGTATAAGTGAATATGCCGCCCATTTTGAGGTGAAAGCTAAGAATAAAATAAGGTGAGGACGGGGACGGCTTCTCACAAGCAGCAAAAAACCTTGGATGGAGTGAAGCTCAGCTTTGACGAAGAACTTCATGAATATATTCAAGAAGTTTGATCGATATCTGCAGAATTTCCGATTATGTATTTGAAAATACATGTTATTTTAACTTGTCTGCGGCGAAGCATAGAATATCGCCAGCTGACCGTGTATGATTTCAATATTCTGTATCGCAACCCATCAGTCGAGCACCACTTCGAAGTTTGAGAAGTCCAAACCGCGTTTACCACAAGATTCTCTCCATCAAAATACATTAGAAACTGTGAAGAATGTTTTTGAAACAGCAAGTGTACTGAATTCGAACTAGATTTCAATTTTCACCAAAGTCGGCAGAATCGAGGATTTTGCGGAATTCTCCGATATTGCCGATGTCGCTTAAGTGTTGCTAGACTTTTGATGACAATGAGCTTCGAATCGAAAACGCATGGGCTCAGCTCGCTGAGATAAATCGCAGGATTTGTCGACCTGCTGTAAACGGCTCGGCTTTTTAAACATGCACCTGCCGTAGGCATGCGCATATGTAAATAACGATTTACGATAGAGACCATTGGTAGAAGAAGTAATATGGAAAATCTAACGGGAAAAGAAAACCGGAAACTTTGCGCTTGGTGGTTATCTACCCACTGTTCACAAAAATCGCAATCATGGAGTTTTCCACAACGGATGCTTTGGAAAGACTGTTACACCATGTAATTCCGCATTCTACATTTTTACACTTTTGGATTTATCCTGATGGGTGACTCTAATGACTCTGCAAACAAATCCATTGGATTTTGTGATGCGCTAAACCTTATCTGTGTTTTCAAGCACAATACCCTTACAGTACATGCAAAATTCCATGGATGTCTCGAATATCCGAGACTCTTCGTTGTTCGCGCGACACATCGTTAGTGCCGCCATATCATTCGAATCACATAAATTCAGCAGCGTTATAATCTCCTCTAGTGCAAAAATTTTCAATCGAAAAAGAGCGTTGTATTGAACTCATAGAATCATATCTTTTATTTTAACATATTACCGTGTTTCGCTTACAATAAGCCTTAGTTTTTGCACATCACTCCGGAGCGGTGTAGCGTACATCACGTCTAGGAGATTCCGGTAAGCGTTTTACACAGCTGTATATAGATGATTGATACTCAAAAGTAGAAGAGAATTATTTTCTCAAAAGTGAAAGAAGAGATGGTTTGGGTGTCCATTCTGCTTTACTTACCAACCCAAGTTTACAAAGCAGCCCTGAATTGGTGATTATCAGGCCAGATTACTTCTATAAGCTGAATCCCAGTTCAAGCTCGTTTCTCCGCTTTCATTTGTTTCGAACCCGCCACGGGTATTCCCTGAAAAAAGATGAAATGACCGGAAAATTGGTCGGTAATGCAATAGCTGTTTACGAAGATCGTGATTCTTCACCTAGCCTTTTACAATAGAATCACAGAGCAAGGGCTAGATCTGAGCTGCCGGGTGCTCCGAAAACTGGCTGTACTTGACCATTATCGAAGTAATTTATTTTGCGTTTGGCCCGTAGTAAAACTCGTCCAGCGCAACCCGGGTAGGGCGGGCTTAAAGTGAACATAGTACGCCTCAGTACGGCATCAGTAGCTATTAATCAGAATGCAGATCGCTTTCTAAACATAAAGATCTTGAGCGTTCTCGCAAGGGAAGGATACCAGGTCGCAGTAGCGAACCGAAATTATACATATCATTAGATGCGTTTTGATAAGCTACTTCCAATTCTACCTTCTGTATCTGCTAAGCGCGTCTCTAGAAGAAGCTATGGGCGGTTAGAGTAGTAAAGTTTTTGGGGTTTTGAAGCATATTGTGTTTTTGGCATGGTTTTGAGCGCATTGACTATAAGTAATGTATACGTACACCGAACACACAACTAAGTGTTATTGAACAAGTAGTTCTTAAAGATGTTACAGCAACTGTTTGCTAAATTCGGACATTCAAACTCTCATAACTCCTTCTAGAGAAGAGCTTAGCAGATACAGAAAAAAGCTAAATTTGGAATCAGCTCATCAAGACGCATCTAATAATATGCATACCATTTCGATTCGCCACTGCGATTTGGTATTCTTCCCTTGTCAGGAAGAAAACACTCGAACAGGTTTGATCGAACGGCTAATTTCTTAGGATATTCAACGCGCAGCGCCGTTTGCGAGGCCGTAGAGGCGAATTTTTGCGGCATCGCAGTGCTCACTGATAGCGGCCACATTTGAAAAAATCGATGATGACCCTACTAAGGATTTGCCCAGCAAATGAATGATAAAACAAAATTACGATATTTGAACGAAAATATCATGGAAAGTTGGATTGATTAGAACATGAATGGAGTGAAATATAAATTTAACTAATTCTTGTTTTGTGCAATTTTCAAAATATCCAAGCGAACTCTGCGAACCAAAAAGAAAGCCTGTTTTCCTCTCGTCAGTAATCGCTGTTCATCGATCCCTGCCTACTTAAGCTTCGAAATTGTGCATTGTGAGTTTTGCATCGCAACAATACGTCAACTAAATTGTTCCGTAAGTCACTCGCAAGAAACGTACGGATTTTGTCTGATTCTGCTCTTTTGCACACTCCCTTTCACCATAAGATCTACTTTGGCAAAGTGGCATTCTGTTGAACTGACTTTGGTAGTTGACCGGACGGTCTTCTAGTTGTTCAACTGACCATCTCAAAGCACGGAAAGATGGTCGGTCTTAGGTTTAAAGTAGGTTGTTCTTTTGAATGGCTCATACCAGGTCTACTTTGATAAATAGAAGTTTATCACGGGCCTCAGGTTGGCACGAAAGTTTCGTCAAAAATTCGTGATTTGTTGCCCTCTTGCCCGGTTGCTTGCTTTTATTTCTAGTCAAGGCCTGAGGCCCGTGATAAACTTCTATTCATCACAGTTGACCTGGTATGAGCCATTCAAAAGAACAACCTACTTCAAACCTAATACCGACCATCTTTCCGTGCTTTGAGATGGTCAGTTGAACAACTAGAAGACCGTCCGGTTAACTAGCACAGTCAGTTCAACAGAATGCCACTTTGTCAAAGTAGATCTTATGGTGAAAGGGAGATAGTGTGCAAAAGAGCAGAATCACACAAAATCCGTATGTTTCTTACGAGTGACTTACGGAACAATTTAGTTGACGTATTGTTGCGATGCAAAACTCACAATGCACAATTTCGAAGCTTAAGTAGGCAGGGATCGATGAACAGCGAATACTGACAAGAGGAAAACAGGCTTTCTTTTTGGTTCGCAGAGTTCGCTTGGATATTTTGAAAATTGCACAAAACAAGAATTAGTTAAATTTATATTTCACTCCATTTATGCTCTAATCAATCCAACTTTCCATGATATTTTCGTTCAAATATCGTAATTTTGTTTTATCATTCATTTGCTGGGCAAATCCTTAATAGGGTCATCATCGATTTTTTCAAATGTGGCCGCTATCAGTGAGCACTGCGATGCCGCAAAAATTCGCCTCTACGGCCTCGCAAACGGCGCTGCGCGTTGAATATCCTAAAAAATTAGCCGTTCAATCAAACCTGTTCGAGTGTTTTCTTCCTGACAAGGGAAGAATACCAAATCGCAGTTTCGAATTGAAATGGTATCACTAACTCAAGCTGAAATTCAAATAAATTTTCCGAATCAATCTTTTCATTTGGGATTTCGTTTCAATTATGCAAGAAATGTGACAATCTTAGAAATGTATTTCCAACAATCTTGCCACCAAAGATTTTCACGAAAATGCTCAAACGGTCCATTTTGCATTAAGTCTGCGCTGGTTTGCTTGTTGCATATTAATAATGTAACGTTGTGAGCAAGAGTCTTTTACTCTTCTTTTTCACTGTGTTTTTAGTTGAATTCTTTTCGTGAACTCTACATGGATCTATAGTAATTCCCTGATTATATAATCGGAAAGATTAGTGATCACTTTTGTACCTCAAATCTTGCTTTTCTAAAACGGTTTCTTGTGAGCTTTTATTAGTGTTGAGGTGCGTGGTGAGTACGATCACAAAGATAAAACCTCAAACAACACACACTGCAAAATCTTGGCATTAATATTTCACAGATAGCAATCCATTCAGAACAAGTTTGGGGTGGAGGGGGGGGGGGGGGGGGAGGAGAAGGCGAAAGGTACAGTCGAGTAGATTTCCTGCTTAATATAGTGTCCCTGCAGACGCGACAACGCTGGGGCGTCAATAATTGCCTGACGAGTACCCGAGCTAGGTTTTCCAGTGTTTTCTTTGCTTATTCTATGCTTTTTAGGTGATTCGTTGCTGATAAAGAATAAAAGGGTAAGTTAAAGAGTAGATTCTGTTTTCTGAGAAGTTCTACCATCGCATATTCACAGATATCCACGTGGAAGCAGTTGCTTCTTGTCTATTTTTTTGTCACTTCATGTCTCTTTCTTCTTGTGAGATACTTCTTTGAACGCTAATGGGTTTTTACGATTGACTTATTGTCTTTATCGCGTGAAGTACTTGACTAAAATGCTAATTCTCATGGATGAAATCCGAAGTTGCTGCAAGATAAGCCAACTAGCGTTCAAAGAAACGCCTCACAAGACGGAGGAAGTTTGAAAGAAGAAGTGACAGAAGAAAAGGAAATGACAAAAAAAATAGACAGGAAGCTGACGCGAAATGCTTCCACGTGGATATATGTGAATATGCAATGATAGAACTTCTCAGAAAACAGAAACTACTCTTCAACTTACCCTTTTCCTCTTTATCAGCAAGGTTCAACTAGAAAGCACGAAATAAGCAAAGAAAACACTAAAAACACTGGCTCGGGAATTCGCAAGGCATTTACTGACGCCCCAGCGTTGTCGCGTCTGCAGGAACACTATATTAAGCAGGAAATCTACTCGACTGTACAGAGGTGTGAACATTGTGCTCAACTCATCAAGGCAAAATTGCTGATACAGTGCAACACCGTGATATCCTACAGTAGACCTGTCCGGAGGGGCGCAGCGCACATCACAATTAGAAAGATCCGGTAAGCACGTTTCTTGAACTGTCTGCGTAGAAGATTTCCCTTCCAAAGTGAGAGCAAGGTTGAAGTTTGAAAAAATTTGTGCCCACCCAACTTCTACTTATCAACGCTACGATAAAAAGCTAGATTGCAAGGTAGACATATTTCTTGATCACCAAGCCATATTACCTCTATGAGCAAACTATCGAAAGAATTTAGGTCGTTCGAATTTCCCTATTTTCACTCTTCCAGCTCGCCATGGGTTTTCCCTAAAAATGATTTTAGAGGCTTACACTGGCCAAGCAACAGCGCAGATAGTGCACTCGCAACTGAAATATTTTCTCCCGAACCAGAACCCGCCAAAGTATTTGACGCACGACTTGCATCGAATGCATGCCATGGGAACTCACCACGCTGGGTCCTCGCGCGAAACCGTGCAGGCCGTAGGTCGTTCGCCAAACAAGGTAGCGGGGTCTGGTTTGGTAACAATCTCAGCCGCATGTGCGCCGTCAATACTTTGGCAAGTTTTGAGTAAGGTTCCAAAAATCACCCACGTGCGATCTCTATGTGTCCATCCTATTCGCCCAGATGTTGCCTTTGACTGACCAGTAACTTTTCCAGTAGTGCAAACAGCTGTTTGCAAACATTTAGTCCTTGTTCGGTAGCTTTCATACTGGAGTTACAATGTGATTCGTGATTACGAGCTTCGAGAAGGTTTTGGGAGAAAATCCGAAACAGTGGTGCTGAAGATTCCCTTTTTTCATGCAGAGCTGTAGAGTTTCTAATCAAGATTCAAAGTCGCATTGAAAAAGCCTAAGATACGCGGGGCTCGGCAACAGCTATTATACCCGGGCAATTTTGAAAGAAGTTCTTTTTGACTTTGAAAATAGTTTGCGAAGTCCCCTTTAACCTTTTTCGATCCTTCTCCCCCACTTCTTCTCGTTTGTCTTTCTTGCCTATGCTGTCGCCCATCCTAGAGTAGTTATAAGGGTGACCCCTATTTCTATTATTTATTAGCAAAAAAAGTTCAAAAAAACTTCAGTCTTGCGTCATGCCCCACCAACATGTCCACACTTGCCCCCTCCTCTCTTACCCCATCCACCTTCCCCTCAAACCGAGGTTGGTTTGTTTAGGGGCGATCACTGAATTTTTTACTCTTAAAGAACCTTCACAGCGGTAGTTACATATATAAAAGTATGAAAAATCATGTGAGTAAAGGGTGTTTCCAGCTCAGCTGAAACCCAACTTCCAGTGATTCTGGAAAAAGATAAGTACGGCTCTCGTTCGCACAAGTTTCCGTAAATTTTTTAGCCATAGTTCGAGTCACCTCACTTGCATGCGCGCTTCACATTTGGAGTCACACATACCTTCGATACATAGAGTCATGAATTGAGAGTACACACACACAACCTTTATAGAAAGAATCAAAAGTCATTTGAGGCTTCGTTCCTTATGTGATAAGATATGATTTTGCTAAAGACGAGGTTTTGTGTAAATTTTCAAAAATTGGTGAAAGCATCTCAATCAACGTCTTCCTGGCTATGATTATTTCAAAACCATGAGACTGTGGGTGTTTGATAAAAATAAGAAACGGCGCTTGAATCTTACGCAGAGAGTGGTGCGCGAAAATGCTGGCTTATTTGGAAGGAGTGATTTTTCATTGCTTGCGACGTTGTCGCTGCGTCTAGTCGTGCCAAATGGTGCCAAATGCCCCACCGGCTCTGTTCCTTTTCTTTTGAATGCCTGCGTCTCGTAATTGTCAGAGCCGAAAACTACTCAGGCGCCGTGCGAGCGATCCTTCTATAAGCATTAGCGCACGAAAGGTTGACATGAAAAAGATTCTGTGCGTGTGGCAAACAGTCAAAGTGCCGTGCGAAAGCAGGCAAAGTTACCGTGCGATCGGTCGGCTATACCTTTGCTCTAACGAGCGTCCAGCAATGTGTCCACCTATCGGCTGGCAATACTGGTTGCCGTGCAAGCTGGCGACTGACCTTTAAGCTTTGGTTTTACAGTACATGCTTTTGTTTTTAGATAAATATTACGAGGAAGTTTGTCAATCCGAAAAATGCCAAGAATTTTTTTGAAGAACCTCTATTTTGAAAAAACATAACTTACTCTTAAGGGTAGTTGGAAAGCGCAAACTTTGCTCATTGCGTAGCCAATGGTCAAGAGAGCAGTGGCAAAAAACCCGGATTTTACGGTATTTTTTACGACGAGTAAAAAGTTTTTATTGTAAAAAGTTCAAAAGTGATAACTATTCCTAGCTTTTTCAAGGAAGCGAAAAATTGTCTTTTTTGAGAATTTTCAAATTTTTCGCCACTGAAAAGCTGTAAAACCTCACCGCTTTTCTATCACTCAATGTGCTATATCTATTCTTTGTGTACAAGGCAAAATCGAAGCAATTTTTTCTTGTTTCAAAGTTTGATACGAACCCCAAAGGCCACAATAAGTCAAGTTTGCGATTGAATCTCTCATCCGAGAACTTTTGCAAAATTCTGCTTTATAGAAAATTCTATAGAAGAACGCTTCGCAATTGTTAAGCATATTTTTTGAAATCAGCATCTTCTGTTCTCATGGAAGCAAAAAGTATAAAAGGAAAGAATTTCAAGTTTTAGTCCCTCATATTCCAAAGCGTGGAATTTGGTATCACACAAAGAGCCACGAAAATGATAAGGTATACAAGAAACTAGAAGAAACGCTCTTTCAGATAGTTCTGAAATTTTTCGGAAAAAATCAGATTTCTTGAAAAACCAGCGCTTGGAAAAAGAGGTGACAAAAACGTGCACTAATTATGAATCAACCTAATATTTAATGAACTTTTGGGGGCTCAAAGTTGAGAAACAAAGATGGTCCAAAATGCCAAAATGCCACTTTTTTCGGGTATTTCATGTAAAACTTGATATTTTTCGATCCAAAGCACAAACAGAGGTTGCATTTCAAGGTTTTACTTTAAGGCTTGTGATATAAAATGGCATATGTGAGAGGGGCTGGTGGCGGAGTTTGCCGTTTCTTTTTTTTCGCTTTTCAAAAACGGAAAAATCCAGCATAGGCATATGTGAGTACTACTATGTGTCTGCTGCATAATGTCCAAGTTTGAGGTCCTCAGAATTTTCCTTCGCAAAAATCCAATTTTCAGGTGTTGAATTTTTTTCGATTTCTGGATCCAAGTTCTAGGTTGATCAAGACTAAAACGGACTTTGATGGTCACTTTGTAGAGCAGGCTTCGCTCTATCAAATGGTAGCCTAAATCTGCTAGGAGTTTGGAAGTACGGCTTACTTTTGGGACAACCCAATAGTTGCAAGCACTTTGGCTGGGTTGGACTTGATGTTTTTGCTGCAAATTACCAAGGCTCTATACTTCGGTCCGAATCAAACGGAAGTTTGATCACTCGAATACAATTTGAGTATATCCGCATTCGAAATCTAAAATTTGGAGTTTTTTTATTTTCGAATAGAATTCGAAAACTTGAATAATCAAAAAACGAGGATTCGAATAGAATTTGGATACTCGAAAAATCAGAAAACAAGTTTCCGATTTTGTTCGAGTGTTTTAATCGAACTCGTATTTGAATGAAATCCGCATTCATTTATTCGACTTCGTTGCAGAACCAACTGCTGAGTATCAAGCTCGCTTCGTCTGCGTTTTTTTCTGCAAAATTCGACAACGCATCTTTCTGCAGCGGGGAAGTATGAAAACTCGCATTTCTTCAAATTTTGCTATAGTAAAGAAAAAATTGAAGATTATGAGTAAGAAATATTGCACAGATGCAGTGGAGGAGTAGACGGTTGCTGAATTTTGCAGTTATATCACCTTGCAATAAAAGTCAGTAGGTAGTACATGATAAATTTGTTATCACAGTGCACTCAAGATTTTTTAAGAACTTTGATCTACGAACTGGGAGTTGATACAATGTGGTTGAAGATAGTGGTGTCTCGGCAGATTTTGCAATTCCATCTTGCTTGGGTGAAAAGACCTTTTTCGGGGCGTTTCAATTTTCAAAAGGCAGCTCGGACGAGAATTTCATAGAAAGTTAGGAGGCCCTGGCACGAAGACCCTGCTGCCTGTGATTTTTGCTCTGGATAGCACACACAATGCGTTAGAGGGACGTGGGCAGGGTCAAGCGTGCCACACCTGAGGGGTTGTATTAAGGAATTAGGGAGGTGATACATTGGTTTCGCCTCCTTCTCAGCACTTAGCGATCCATCTGGAAAAGCTAACGTTGCCGCATTTCGACGGAGACGTCACTCAATTTCAACAGTTCTGGTGTGCTTTCGAGCTAGCTGTGCATAACGATTCTAGCATTGATCTCAGGATGAAGTATCTCTATTTGCAGAATTTGCTTAAGGGAGACGCGAGAGTGGTACTGCAAGATTTGGAGCCAGGGCAGAACAACTATTACCAGCTTGTACAGGCATTGAAGTAGCGATACGATTGCCCGAGGAGAACTAGAGCCTTACTCTATCAACAGCTCAAGGAACTTTCACCTGCTACCGAGTCAGCTTCAGATATGCGCAATACGTGGTTCTGGATCTCAGGTATTCTTCATGCCCTCAAGCGTTTCGAAGATCTTAGAGTTCTTACTATCATTGATCTCGTGCGGACCAAGTTTCCTTTGTTCATTCAGGAGAGACTCAATGATGTCGAGTTTCAAAGACAAGCCGATTTCGATCTTCGACAGGTCATGACTCATCTCGATAACATCATCACGTCCAGAGAGCGATTTGAGCAGACCTGCTCCCGTAGTGGTACTTATGCTGTTAATAGAGATGCCTCCACAGCACCATCATCGGTGCCTAGTTCTCCTAGGGTTCAGTACAACACTTCCGCATGTTGCTTCTGTGATTCCTTCGATCATTCTTCTCGTCGATGTGATCAGCGAATGCCGATAAGTACGCGACGTAAGATTGTGCAGTTCTGCGGATTGTGCTGGAAGTGCTTGCGAGACGGTCATCGCCAGGATCAATGCGACTATTCCACCTGTAGGAATTGCGGAGGTCCTCACAACCGACTACTCTGTACCCGTACGTCCAGAAGAAGTCGATCCCCAAGAGCCAGAACGAGTAAGCGCGGAGTACGACCAGCTGCGAGAAGTCACCATTCCTCTAGAGACTCCTCCGCATCGAGAAGTCCAGCAAGGACTTCTCGATGGATAGCAGAAGATCTCGAGATTATTCTCGTGATCGTTACTATCAATTGCGTGAACAGAGAGGTTACCGTAGCAGATCCAGCTCCAATTCTCAATCTGGTTCTCGTTCCCCATCTCCACGAGTTCGTTTTGACGTACCCGTGCGAGACATTTCATGTTATTCACCTTCCCCGGAACGTCGAAGAAGACCAAGATCAGGATCTCCATACCCGCCAGAAACAAGATCGAGTGGACAATCGTTGGTGCAGTCCATACCTTCGATAGTCAAGAGACGGAGGCTAGAAAGTGATAGTTGTTTGAGTTCCTGCCCTCTATAAAAAGTGAAGGTTGTTTTAGAAAAATAGATGAAAATTTAGAGATATGAATTAAACCAGCAAACTTGAAAAAATCATATAAAGCAGAGGTTAGCACATCATTGATTTCTTAACTTGGAGGTTTTCTCCTCTTCAGGATTGCCCTTAAATTGGGTGGCAACAAGAACAAAGTTTTTTTCCAATTGAAATAAGCGCTGCTTAGCTGTGAAGGTAGGTTGGAGACCTAAAGAAGGAAATCTTGTCAACAACTGAATTGAACATGTTAAACACGTCTGAAAAGATAGATTGCACATCGACGCCAATCTGATTTTTGATGCGTCCTTTAAAATTTCACCCCCCGTATAGTCGTTTCGTATCCTGCGACGTTGTCTGGACTTCCGCTCATCATTCTGAGCAAGTATCGTCCAAGCTGGAGAAAATTCGTTGCAAAACCACTGAAAGAGAACAAGGTAAAGGAAAGCGCGCTTTTTGTGTAATTTTCACAAAAAAACCGGCATAAGCAAAAAAGTAAGCTCGGCGACGTTGTCTACACCATAAACAGAAACAAGACCTATCGAATGCACGAAAAATCCGGGTGAAAAGAGTTGATCTGAAGAAAAAACAAGAGGTTTTCGAAAACGTCGTTTTTTCCAGATTTCTCGTCTAAATTAAGAAAGGGAGTCTTGCGACGTTGTCAGTGTGAAAATAGAGATCAAAAGCTTCAATATGATATATAGATTGTCGAACTTGGGCTCCGAACAACGAAGAAAAGGGTACCAGAGCCAAATGCCCCGTGCCCCGCATTTGAGGTAGCGAGATAGCGCGCAACGCGCGGGGACGCAGACGAGCAGCGGAGACAGAGCAGAGCCGGCGGGGCATTTGGCTCTAATCATTGATCTCCGCGGGGTCATAACGAAACCCTATAACACTATATATCGTTGTGATCCTCATGAGACGGCCAGGAGCACTGATAACGTCGCGAGTCTTGAGAATTACTCCATAGCAAGATAGACCAGCATTTATGTGGCGACCCTCTGGGCAAAATTTGAGCGCGGCTTCTCGTTTTATCGAACTCCAGCGGCTTTCATGAACTTCCAACGCTGAATCGCAGTCTACAGCAAGGTTAATTGAATAGTTCTGTCCTAGTTTCTAGTAGAATTTTCGAATAAAAACCTTTTTCCAGCAAAAAAGGCCGTAAAAACGCAATCCTTCGGTTAAGCTTCTTTTGGATGTCACTACTAATTTGCCTCATTCACAATCATCCCTATATGGTTATGCCATTAATTATATTATAATATCCGGGGCTTCGCTCCGGATGACATCTGTACTTCTTTCCAGGTGAAAGTTGTGTTCTATCGTGACGCTCAAAGTGAGGGTTACCAGAGTACATGGCTCTATGTATCGAAGGTATGGTGCAGTCAGATACGGAATGCCACGATTATATACAGTGTTATTTGCGATCCCATCTTTACAACGGCAATACGGATCAAGACGTAGCTCCAGCTCCGATGCTAGTCAAGGCCAAAGCTCTGAATTTGTCAGGACAACTGGAGGAAATAGCACTTCTACTGGATTCCGGAGCGCAAACGAGCTTTATCACCAAGTCTACAACTGCCCGCTTAGGTCTTCGCGTATACGATCATGCGCCTATTACTTTGACCTTTGGAGGACACGAGATCACAGAAGTTTGTGGGAAAGTGGATCTCACACTTGTCGATTCATTCGACAAGAGCTTTACAGTCTTTGTTCGTACTGAGGATCAGCTTACCCATAATACACGCGCTCCAAAACTATCCACAGAAGACATCGAGTTCATCAAACAGTACGGATTCGATCTCCCAGCCTACAACAATGCCACGAGAGTTTATGTCAACGTTCTCATAGGTATCGATTACTTTTGGAATATTATTACTCAAAGATTGTCCGTTTGCCTTCCGTCGGGATTAGTTTTAACTCACACTAGGTTTGGTAGCGTTGTTTCAGGATCTTTTTTTCGCAAGTCTGCCCCGTATCAACATCCACCGGGAGCGATAAGTCAATAGAAGGAAATGAAGACATCGTTGCCAAGTTGTGGCAATTAAAGCGCTTGGGTATTAAAGGTGATTCACATGATGACAAAGACACATTCCACAATTCTCTTATTCTTGAGCACTTTGAAGACACCGCATGTTTCGAGAATGGGTTCCTTTACGTACAGTTTCCTTGAAAGGAGTCACATCCCCAACTGGGCGACAATAAACAGTTAGCTTATTGCCGACTAGTCAGTCAGTACCAGAGGTTACGTGAGCAGCCGTCGGTATGGAAGGATTATTGTCTAGCCATAGAGCAACATCCACAATTAGGCTTCATCGAGGAAGTAAGCGAACACATTACAGACAGTCATCTCGTTTACCACATCCCGCATCAAGCCGTCTTTAAGGAGTCCTCAGCTACCACCAAGCTGAGAATAGTATTTGATGTTTCTTCGCACATGAGAGGATTTCCGAGTTTGAACGATTGCCTCCATGAAGGACCATCCTTATTGCCGGAGATAGCAGGAATACAACTTCGAGCACGGCTACACAATTACCTTCTCATCGCCGACGTTGAAAAAGCCTTCCATCAGGTTCGACTTCAAGTCTCTCAACGAGATGTGACACGTTTCCTGTGGTTGAATGATGTCAATAGACCTCCAGACAAGGATAACTTGCATTACTTTCGTTTTACAAGGATCCCATTCGGTGTCAAGTCATCCCCATTCGTATTGACCGCATCCATTAGGATCTATCTTCGCCACATAAGCTCACCTCTTGGTACAGAGATCGAGCAAAATACGTATGTGGACAACGTCATCCTTGGTGCTTCCTCGCGTGACGAAGCGCTGCAGAGCGAAGTCCATATTCGACCACATGCACATGAATTTGAGAGAGTTCTTGTGCTCATCGAGGATAGTTGATAAACAGATAGACCCAGAGGACCATGCCAAGGAACCAGACCACACGAAGCTATTGGGAATTACGTGGTCGCCTGAACGGGATACGTTTGCTATACCAATCAGGACCTTGGAATACCCAGTAGTTTCTAAGCGTACAGCTCTTAGAGCTTATGCATCCACATATGACCCTCTAGGACTTTTGACTCCTTTTATGGTTCCTTTCAAGCTATTCGTACAGGATCTGTGGCTGAAAAAGCTTGGATGGGACGATCAATTGATGAGGAAATGCAAAAGGAGTGGCGACGTATCTGCCAGGATGTACAAGATCCGTTACCACCCCTTCCTAGACGAGTAACCACACGCAGTGTGCATGCATTCGATTTATGCATCTTTGGAGATGCTTCTAAACGAGTGTTTGCTGCTTGCGCATACTTGGTAAGCCGAGTCTACAATGCGACTACTTCACACCTCATCATGGCAAGATCACACCTCAACGAGCCCACGCCGATCACCATACCAAGGATGGAATTATTGGCAGCCAGAAGCTGCGTCTCTCTAGCCGAATACCTGCAAAAAGAATTGGACCTTAAGATCTCGTCCATCCACATTTTTTCAGACTCCCAGATTCTGCTCTATTGGATCCATTCCATCAGGCCATTGAAAAAATTCGTCCATAATCGAGTAACTTTTACTCGTAAGACCGTTAAACAGCTTCAAGATTTAGGAAGCGACGTCAAGTTCCACTATGTTGCTTCCGAAGATAATCCAGCGGATCATGCTACACGTGGTCTGACGACGAAGGAAGCTGCTGATCATGTTTGGTGGACAGGACCATCGTTCATTCGTCAACCTCCTAAAGATTGGCCTAACAACGATATGGGCTTTACGATTCCGCCCGTAACAACTGCGGAACAGGATAAGGAGTTCACACAGGTATCATTGGTTAGAGATGATTCACATGTTTCGGTTATTCCATTCTTTGCCACGAACGGTTACATGAAGCTTTTGCGGATTACCGTTTACATCCTTCGATTTTTGCGACGTAGGGTTGTCGAGCGTCTCACATTCGCGAGTAAGCAACTTCTCCACAAGGCAATTCCAATTTTATCTCAAATTTCGCCCGCCGGTAATATTACGGCATAAGACATTGCCTTAGTTGAGAACTTGGTTATTCGTGAACATTATCGTGAATCGAGTCATCTTTTGGGACGTTTCGACTCCAGCGATTCAATGCGCATTGTGACGGAGACGGACTAATAAGATGCCCTGCTCGAATGGAAAAGGCTTATCGCACAGCACCCATATTACTGGTGCTATCCCACAGGCTAACGTCTCTCATTGTACTCTATACCCATATTACGTCTTACCATCAAGGCACTTATAGGACGATAGCGCAATTGTGCCGATGCTTTTTCATACCATCTACACGCCGTACAGTGGTCAGGATCTTACGCACATGTGTCGTTTGCAAGAAAGCTAATGGTCCCGCATACCGTTATCCGGATATGCCAAGCTTACCCAAAGAGCGAGTAAAGAGACTCAGACCATTTCAGAACATAGGTTTGGATTACCTCGGACCAATTGCCTATAGAGACAACATCGGGATGAAGGCAAAGGCATGGATTTGTTTGATCACTTGTATGGCTACGAGAGCGGTTCACTTCGAGGTTGTCAGTTCTTGCTCTACTCAGGACTTCCTACTAGCCTTTCGCAGATTTGTCGCACGACGAGGAACACCAGATATTATTTACAGTGACAATGCGAGTACATTCCACGCAGCAGAGGATGCAATTAACAACTTATTCTTTGCTCCTCACTGTAGGAATGACATATACGACTTTGTCGCTAACCACAAAGTCACTTGGAAGTTCATTACTCCAGTTTCCCCCTGGAAAGAAGGTTTCTATGAGAGACTAGTTGCCTTGTTTAAGTCCGCATTTAAGAAGACCGTAGGAAAGTCGAGACTGACATGGGAACAACTGCGAACGATAGTTGTGGAGATAGAAGCTGTCATTTTCTTGCCCCATAACACCTTACAGGGAGAAGGACGTTTCTTTCCGCATCTTACGACCAGTCGACTTCATTTCGCCGGAAGTCAGTCTACAACTACCCTCGCAAGAACAGGATCACGACATTGCTGTCGATGGACATAGACTAGCAGACTGGTATAGGGAAACCCAAGTTATCCTAGATTCTTTCTGGGAAGTGTTGCGTACCGATTACCTCTCTGCCCTTATCCAACGCCATCAATGCCGATTAAAACAGTCACGCCTGAACATCCACAAGTGAACGATCTCGTGATTATTGCGGAAGACAATGTGCCCAGAGAACAATGGAAGATGGGAATTGTGATTCGACTATGTGGTGCTAATCATAACAGCGTGAGAGTAGCAGAGGTACGAGTGCCGAATGGAAACATCCTCAAGAGGCCTCTATCTAGGCTATATCCCTTGGAAATTCGCGCGAAGGATGATTACACACCCATAGTTGAGCACAAAAGAACGTCCTCATAGACGTAAGCCTTCCACATCGCCTACGAGGATACAGCCTCCTCGAAGGGCCAAGTCTCTATCCCCATTTGCACGTCATCATTGACGCGCTTTATTCCACAAGCGACGTTTGTGTGTAGCATGTATCTTTACCATGCTTTAACCACATGCGTTGCAGTCGCAAGCGCGGTCTTTATCGCGCTCCACATATATCCGAGAGAGAAACTGGTCCCGCCACGAATGGAAGATAGCCAGCATGTGCAACGAATTGCATCATGCAATTGCGGCTCCGGATGGTTTTTTCTCGTTTTCGCGTTATGTGTTCTTCATTTGTTTCTTTCTTTCTTGTTCTTGTCTCCTCATCACTCTCTCATGAGCCACATCTATCCTCTATATCCTATCTATTCTGATTTTTCGTCTTTGTCTTCCTCTGAATGCAAAATTATGCGTGGCTCATACTTTTTGGACATTTCTCTCTAATCTTTCTCTCATTCACTCTCAATTCATTCTATTATTCTTTCCCCTTTTCTTTCTCTTAGTTGTGTAACGGTGCGTTGTGGAACTAACATCTTCACATGTATCTATTCCGTCTACACACGTAGATTTCTTGTTTTGTGAGCATTGATTATTGCGAAATCCACATTTGACTCTTTTGTTTACACATGTTTAACTTGACCTCACATGTCATAACCTAATAACCGCATGCTACTAACACAAATCACCTTAACCCCAACTCACATTCTCTCTTTCTTCCTTTATTGTGACTTGTGCTTCTATTTTCTTGTTTCTTTCTCATCCCTCTCATTCTCATTCTCTTTACTAACCTTAAGTGAGTTCGTTGTGCTTACGTGCTATGTGCTCTCTTACTCCTATCGTTCTCTCATTCTTTCAGGGTAAAGCGATAACGAGTAGACTGACCATCTACAGCGATGACAATCTGGAAAACTAAGACTAGGCGAGGCGAACCGGTGAGGAAGTCGGAGAGTCTGCTACAACATCGCGGACAGGAACGATCTCGTTCGAGATCGCGATCGCCGTCGCACTCGCCACGGAGAGAGCCGGGTGAGAAAGAGAAGCCGAGCGAAAGCTCAGTGGACCCTTCACTCCTGGCTGAAGTGATTCGTGAGCTTGCCGTCGTGCGAGCACAGGAGCCGTCACGTGCCCCAGCTGACCCTTCGCAGGATCCGTCGCCGAACATCAACGATCCCCACACTCGTGCACTCACAGTGCTCAAGCTCATTTTAGGGATTGCGAAGGGACACAACGTCAACAGACGATTTAGCTGCGATGATGACAATGACACCCAAGCCTTCGCGGTACCTAGGACGTATAGACCAGCACTGCAGCTACTCCACCAACTGACAGTAGCTCTCTCCCCAACACGCGTGTTTAGTCCCACGCAGCTGGGCCACAGCGACTTAGTCGCTATTGACGCCTTTCTTCACGACGACCTCTTTGGACATATCCGAAGCATATTCACTAAGGAGATACAGGGTGTCCCAAAAAAATGTTAACACTGTTTGATCGTTAATAACTCCCTTGCTTTCAATTCTTTCGCCGAGCTTTAGGTACCATTTTGTAGAGCGAGGATAAACTTAGATTCACAGTACCGAGCGAATCATCTAACGCTCCTCGTTACTGTAGAATTACGGTAGGAAATTCCAGCATATGGAACCGTCGTGAAATATGCCTTCTGACAAAATTTTTTTCAAAAATTCTGAAAAATCGTATACTAGGGTTTTCGCGCACGCTGATTTTACTACACAACTTTTACGAGTGTTTTCAGCTTTTTTGACGGTGTAATCACATTTTTGACACATGCTGGGAAGTCAGTTATTACACTTTACCTAGGATGACTTTGAAAAGAAGTATCATAATAAAGTGAAAATTTCACATCCAAAATCAGCGGCTTTCATTACCATAGTACAAGAGATTTTGGCTTGTTAAGCTCTGTTTCGAAGCAGAAAATGGGCTTTAATGGCCTAAAATCCTTGTCAATTTTCCTACGTAATTCTACAGTAACGAGGAGCGTTAGTTGATTCGCTCCATACTGTGAATCTAAGTTTATTCTCGCTCTACAATATGGTACCTAAAGCTCGGCGAAAGACTTGAAAGCAAGGGAGTTATTAACGATCAAACAGTGTTAACATTTTTTTGGGACACCCTGTATATCCAACGAAGGCGGAGGATCTACAAGGCGCGAAAGCCGAACATCTGCATGCGCTACTGATCTCAGGCCATCTCAATGGACTCGTTGAACTTACTGCACAAGCCACAAGTTACCTACAGGAGTTAGCTCATAGGCCGCAACCGAATCCTGACGCTTTGTTGGATCGCATGGCTGACCTTTTTCATTACATTCATAACATCAATTACAGACGGCAGGCAATCTCAACACAGCTTACAGCGATTCTGTTTACGCCAGTTGATGAGCTCCAGCGTAAGCTGAACTTGTTGGCCACTTATGGCGTAACGTTGGAGAAGATCGTGTCCAACAACTATGCCGCAGCCGCAGCCGTAGCCCAGATGGTGAAGGCCCATGACACCTATCGCGACATCCTGAAGGAACATTTGATGACCAGGAACGTTGGCCAGGGCAGATCGGTAGTCCCCAGTGCGACAGCACAGAAAGTGGTTCAGCAAGCAATTGCAGCGCCACCGCAGTCGGAGGCTAAGGCGAAACCGCCTCAGGCTGAGCCTCAATCGACGACGTCGAATCCACAGCAGTCGAGTTCTCAACAGTCACTTGATGAGACAGCTCAACTGACATCAGCATCCACAGCACACTTCGACCCGGAACCTAGAAGCTTCGCTAGTCGGGAGGTTTCTGCAGCGTCATCAGCACCTTCTCCTCCTCCTCGACAGCCCGCCGCCCCCCAGGATGGGGCCCCACAACCCATTCTACGAGAGCGTCAGGAGCAACGTGAGGAGCCTATGGAAGTGGTCCCGGTCGAAGTGGGCTATCGTGAGCCTGAGAACCAGCGTAGAGGTCAGCAACCGGAAGAGACACACATCCGCTGCTACTTCTGCAGACAACGTCACTTCTCGTCGGGCTGCCCGGTGTATCGACATCTATCGCAGAAGATGGAGATCAATGCGAGGCGCGGAGGGTGTTTTCTTTGTTGCGACCGACACGCTGAGGAAGAATGTCCCTTCCGCGGAAGGAGATGCAGAGGATGTAGGTCCAAGCACTACGAGACATCCTTCTGCTTCAACAACCGCCATGGGATCAACGACATCGATCCAGAGGATTATCGCTTGCGCTTAGAGCAGTACTAGGCTGTTGCATAAGTTCTGTCCGATTTTTTTGCCTCATGTTTGAAGCAGCTGTTCTAAGAGAATTTCATCTCTAATTCGATACGGTTGGTATCATTGAAAAGTGCTTTCCTTGCGCTTTCTAAAGCATACCAGAATTCAATAAAATTCTTAGTGTACGGAGATCACAGGCCTAAAATCTCTAAGTGGCCGAGGTACGTTCTATCCCTAGAAATATGTCCTTGCGAGGATATCTCCACAATGCGCCCTTCAAGTCAGGTTCTTTCATTGGCTTCGGAATAAGGGTATGGAATGCTAGTATATGCAGAAGTTCGGTCCCATGAAGAATACGTCTTGCTAGTGAAATTTATCCTCGAACATAAATCTTTGGTATAGATGTTTTACAAGCAATAACTTTCTGCGAATAGAAGTAATCGACAAGCTCAAAGTTGGAGGTGCTAGGGCAAAGCAAGAGCTAACAGGGCCCATCCACCAATTCCTTTTCGGCGCTCACGTCAGTTGTAAAACGTTTGTAGTTCATAAATAGGCATGCACACATGTGCTGAAGCGAGGTCAAAAAGTGGCTAATTTTTTGTTCGGTCAAGAAAATCTCTCGGCAGCGCAAACCCTATGGGCTCTTTTATGTTGCATAATAATCTACGAAAATTTCTCTATCCATCCATTATTAGAAAAGATGCCTATCAATTTTCATAAGGGAGCGTTACCATGTCAAAAAAGACAGATTCGAAGAAAAACGCTGCGAAGTTTTTGCATTCTTGGTTCTTCCTTAACAAAGATTTGCGCAGATCTCAATATGCATTTTTTAGCCAAGGGACTGCTCAACACATAGAAACTAAGACCTTGGAAAAAAGTTGACTCTGAAAGAAGTTATGACATTTTAAACTCAAAAATTCAAATCGGACAGAACTTATGCAACAGCCTAGTATAAGGCCTTGGCGGAACTACGGCAGGAGGAGAGGGGACAGGGCGCCCAGAGAGCCCCGCAGGTAAGTTTGTTTTTTGTTGTGAATTTCTACCCTATGTTACTTTCTTTCCACAACTTGCGATTTTTTTTGTGAGCCTTAAGCTCACTCTTCTATTTTGTCGTCAACTTTACTTTAGGTTGACTGGGAAGGCATTCATGGGGAGTGCCATGGGTTTTGGTTGTTTGCCACAGTGAACTTGTCAAGGACATGCCCACAATTTAGGGTTTTTAGTTTATACTTCTGTTTTATTGTTTTGTTTTCGGTTTTTGTTTTTCGGCGAGCCTTAATTCGCTTTTTGTTGCTAACCTTGATTTAGGCTAGCTGCTATGGCCACATTTTGCGTTGATCCACAACTGACGATTTTTGGGGCCACGGTGGGAGACCGTGTTGATTGTTTTTTGTTTTCTGGGATTCCCCTTTCTTTTGAGCTTGACTTGACCCAGGGTTCTTTTGCGCTTGAGGAAAATCTCCCCCTCACTGTCTAAATTCTTTCCCCTTGGCGTGAAAAACCGCGCCCGTAGGCAAAATTAAACTTTTGAATCGTCGACACCTGCCGTCCAGTCTATGTCAAGCCGCTGTACGTCACGTCATCAAGAAGATCCACGTCAACGTCAAGTCATGGTCGAATGGTTAGATGCCGATACCACAACTTCCGTCAACGTCGACGCCGCCAACACAAGTGTCTCTCCTCAACTGCCGAAAGACACACCAGAAGTCCCGACGTAGAGCCCTCGACGACTTTCCATCCCGTGAGACAACCGGCTGTCACTACGATACGCGGTAGGCCAGCGCGCGTACTAGGGTTACTCTTACTCGTAGTTATGTGTGTACGTTTAACCCGTAGTCGTAGGTAAGGTGGTGAATTGGAGCCTACCTCGGAACCTTTTTCTGCCGCCCGGAGTGTCGCGGATTGCGCGACTTCCTTATAGGGAGTTTGCCACGCAAAGCGATGGGTTTTAAAATGCCAGTCCTCGTGCTGCCGCGCCTCTTGTTCCCACGTCTAACTTCGCATAAGTCACGCATTCTCCCACACTTGTCCAGCAGCGATCGATCGACACCTCAACTGTCTATTGATCGATCGAGCAGCGCGCCTTTCGAGCCAGCGATGTTCAACACCTGCACGCTAGGAGGACTGGCACCTGCACCGAGGTAACCCGGCTGTGCGCTCCCTTCTTGCCGCGGGGCTGAGGAGCCACTTCGCGGGGGGTTTCTTTTTACCGAACCCTAGGTGAGATCTTTGGCCCGTGTGTACTCTGCCCATTGTATTGAGTTGCTTGTGTGTTGGTTCAAATAGGGATAAATGGTGGGCACTTAAAAGTGTAGTGTTTTGACCCTTGTGGTAGCCATAGGCTCAGACCTTGGCACAGTTATACCTGTATGCTGTTATGTTTCTTGTGTACTCATGTCTTGTAAGGATCCATCCGTCGGAAGACCAGGCACGAGGCTAGCTAGTGCCCCAAGTTGCAAGTAGACACAAGTGTCCTTGATGAACGGCTCGAGATAGCTGGCAGTAGGCATTAGGGGGTTGGTTGGTAGCTTAGGGCTTCTAATTCGTGTGCGTTGTGCTCGTGGCAGGCCATAATAGCGTGGAGCAAGTTAGCTACCTTTCCCCAAGTGTCGCTGTCCTATCTCACGGATGGCGTCCTCTGCTCCTGTCGCCGATGCAGGAGAGCAAGTTACCACTGACGTCTGGAGCGGGGGACCCCAATCCGCGACAGCATAGGAGGTCGTAAAGGGGAGGGGAAGCGGCGATGGGTTAGGGGGTCGTAAGAGAGGGTGGTCCCAATTAAAAAAGTGTGGAATGTAGAAAATAAGCTTTGTCGCAAACATTCTCTACTCTTCAAAAAACAGCATTTTCTCCCTGCAAGAAAGGTGTCTCAGACGAACTGCTGGCCACAAGTAAGACCGAAGATTCCAGAGACTCTTTCAGAAGCCCAAACACTAGGCATGCATTTGTGACAAGAATGTTAAATGTGCCAAATGGCCTAGAAATCATAGTTCCGAAGCATCACTAAAGTCTCACACTCTCGAAAAAGTATTCATCTCTACCAGCGATGACCATTGATAATTTTCAAAACTTTTTTGTTGTCTTTGAAGGGCTCATACAATTTACCTGTACTTTGGAGACGTTCTGCTACAGTTGTGCGAAATCTGGTTGTATTTCATAGCCTGTGGATTTTTTTAAAATTTCATATATGGCAATAAAAAATTCAAAAAAAGGGGGGGGGGGGTCGTATCTGGGTCGCATCTGAATTTTTTCGCCACTTTGGAGGCCTGCTCGCAGCAATCTTGCAGTAATACGAGGTCATTCTCCTACTTTCTATCATAAGAATTTTGGGCTGTTTTATAATTTCTCCGGTGAGCTACAAAATTTCAAGCTTAAAAATCCCAGTTTTTGCTTTTTAGGATCGCATCTAAATTTGCGAGAGTCGCATCTAGATTTTTTCGAGCTCACTGCTCCTCAGTGGCTGAAACGTTTTCCGTGGATAGTATGGGCACCATACTACGCAGCTTATTCATTACAGCCTGTCATCTTTCCATGACCTTAATTACGAATTTGCAAAGTACCGTGCTTATGCACGTTTTTGACATCGTTCTGGAAAGCGCCAAAACGGTTTTTCGAGGAAAATCTTTGCATTAGATTGAAAGTAAGCTTTTTAGTCGAAAACAATTTTTACGCTCAAAAGATATCGTTTTTTCTCTCTGCAAAAAAAACATTGTCGTAAGGGGATAGAAGACGGGACTGCATTAAAGTCTGAAACGTTCTTATTTCCAGAACCATAGTCTATATCTTTCGGTACCACTGGACCATGAAAGGATCATGCCGAACATTCATAAATAGTTGAAAAGTTTATTATCCTTCACTAGAAAAGGGGTTATTATAAAGAATTCAATTATAATGACTAAAGTGAACCGTTCCGAATGCTGAGTTTTTTTAATTATTATTTTATTTCATTTTTCGAGTACAGCTTAAATATCATTCGAATCAAAATGGACGTTCTGCTTTGTCAGATGATGTCGTCTCCATTCATATTTTCTCAAACACAATAAGCGTAGCCATTTTGCAAAATTTTACTACTTACCAAACCTACGTAGAATTTGTTTTTGAGCGGTGAAGCATTACTTGCGCTATCTTTCAATGTGTAGGTAGTTATCCTTCTCTGACTATAATTTTGATTGAGGTCTAATGGCAGGTATCTTTTAAGATTGACATTCATTCATGCAGAATACCGTAAAAGGAAGTAAATGAGGGGGTGGGGGGCAGGTGGGGGTGGGGGAGGGAGGGAGAGGGAGGGGGGCGGTCATACTGATGGGTACCTTTAGGGGGGGGGGGTCGTAAATTAGGGTCCCGGATTGCATCAGCGCTTGACCCTGGTTACAAGCTCTATTCTGTATGTAGTATGAACCTTATTCCAAGCTGCCGCTCCAAATAAATTTCTAAGCGCTTAAGCATGTTATCTATGTATTGTTCAGACTTTCTGCGTATTCATTTCCGTCGCTGTCATTTACGACTATCTCTACCAAATTTTGTTCTTCTCTGCTGTGCTAACACTCGGGGGACAACGAGAACCTAGACGAGGCAATGCCTATCTGTGCTGTTTGACAGTGCCGCCAAAATCTAAGGTGAATCGCAGTACATGTGGGAGGAGTAGTTTCAAATTTTCTTTTCCAGACTGTAAAAGAAGAGAAACCTTACTGGATCTTACGTGCAGTGTCAAAGCTGCTCGATTTTGTTCTAGATTCTTGGGTGGATTTCAGTGTGTCAGTTTGGAGCAAAGTGATTGTAGGAGGTGAGTTACAAGTAGATAATGAGTGCGTTCTACTTTAAACTCGATCTCCAGGTAGGTGGTAGGTGCTCGTCATTGTTGCAGAATATAGAATGCGCTGAAATTAGAAGTCTGTCCAATGTTCAGTCCACATATTTTTTGTAAGTTTGGAATTCGCGGTTATCCATCAAAAGGAAGAACTTGAGTGGACTTTTTTAGTTGCACTTTCTTAGTCTTCATGTGGAAAACTTTGGAAACTTTGGATACTGCAAGACTCCAAAGTTTTCTAGAACTTTTGACGCATCTCACCGCTAATTACGTGTTCTTTTTCCTAAGAGCTGTCGTGCCCATTATAAATCATAGAAAAAAAACATTAAGTAGGTTCAAACGTTCGCGTCGTTCAAATCTGTCGCATCACTCAGATTAATGATAGACAAATGCAGTAAACAGAATGTTTTTATCCCGAGTCTTTGAATTGTCGCTTGATCAATCGTCAAACCTCCAACCCATGTTTTTACCTACTCTAATTTTCTAATTTTCGAGATTTCCAATTCGGACTTTCAAAAAAGTGATAATGGTTGAGTAGGGTAAAAAAGTGCGATACAATGATTTATTAGGTTGTCCCGAAAGTTTTGTCGGTTTTTTTTCATCGCTCACTAAAACTCACAGAAGACTAGTCCATGATCTATGTTCCATTTGATTTGGATTTTCATCTTCTTTCTTACAGCTGTATTTGCTCTCTGACCTACCCTGTCTTTGCAATGTGATCGCCATGGCTTTTTGAGCAGCTCAACAGTAACGCAAATCTTTCCTGAATTTTGAAAATTTCTATCCTAATACGTCTGAGGAGGGCTGGTAACTGTTATAAATAGGAAAGCTTTGGCTACATTGTGCCCATTTTAGATTATGCGAGTCACGTTTACCAAGTCCGTTATGATTATTCATTTAATAAAAACCGCGGCTTTTTGATTACGTTTGCCACGTAAAAGTACCGAAAATTCCAAAAAGCTGATTTTCAAAGCAGGTCAAACTGGGTAATGTTACATAAATAGTGTTCAATAAGAATCATGTTGCAATTTGCAGAAACTTCAGAAGTTTTCATGTTTTTGCTGCAGTTGCGTGTTTCATGATTTTGTCAAAAATCGAGACCTCCAAAGAAATAATTTTTTGAAGCGAAAATCAGCAGATTAGTGGAATTTAAAAATATTATCTTATAGTTCGAGAATTGCTCTATTTAATCCTTACTTAAACCTTTGAGAAATTTTGAAATGAAATTTTCAAAAATTAGCCGAACTTTGAGCAGACAAAAATGACGGGTGAAGAATTTCAGCAATTATCGAAGAAAGCATACAGGATTGTGGTTCGAAAATGTAACCACAAGAAAGAGAAGGAAAAGCCGCATCGAATACATGCTGAAGCTCATTCAGATCTTCATTGTGCGTGGTCTTATAGCGGTCTGAAAAAACCGACAAAACATTCGGGACAACCTAATATTTGGTATAGCTGGCTTATTTTTTCAAAGAATTTTTTTCGAAGATTTTCGCTTTTTAGAAATCGTGAACTGCGAACGCTTTTGACGCTAATGAATCTTTGGGAAATGATACTACGATTATGGCTGAATACTGTTTTAAAGAGCAAATGAGAACTTGCTTCGAAATATCAATTTTTAATTTTTGTGGTACGACCTAGAACGTAGTTAAAAAGTATTAGCTTTACCTTTAAGAGCTTTACGAATGGATTAAAGATCGCCTACCAGAAAAAAAGAAAAAAGCTGCATTGAGTGTATCCTGCTTGCTCGCCGTCTTAGGGTCTTTGAGGTTTGAGATGACCAAACATAGAATTTGGTAACATTAGTAGAAGACCTTGGAAAAGTTAAAAAGCCAGCTGTAGTTGCCAAATATGCACTTTATTGTGCCTTTATATAATCAGCTGTTATTAGAGCGCTTTCCAAGTCCTCAAAAGAAAAAGCTAAAGCAAGTATAGATTAGAAACACGGGTTATTTACAGATTATTAAGCAAACATTCAGGGACTTGTAATAACTCACTGCTTTGAAAGAGAGGATTTTCTGCCTTGAACATGTCTTGCACATTTATCTGTCAACATTATGGTAAAAATTATGAAAAATGTGTAACCAAAGGGTCACGTTGGGCTTACTGGTTTCAGCGGTTTCGTTGTCCACATCAAGCAGTTCCAACTGGACCGAGAAAAAGTGGCAATTAGCACAGCTTCCATTCACGTAAGTTTACATAAATTACTTACAAGGAAACGATATTCAATGTCCGTGGCCTTTCGAGACGAGATGTATACCATCACGCTCGTCTTCGGACGCTGATTCCGAATCTGACTTCAGTTTCTGTTAATCATGTTTCTGAAAGGAATTATGGAGAAAGTTCGAGCAAAGTTTGGCCTCCCAATGGTACGGTCCAGACCTTGGCACCAGCTGGCACGGAGGAAACTGTATGTTGTTTTTGGGGCAAAAAGAAAGGGGATACCTCCTTTGTGGCCGAAAAGACAAAATTACGACGTTTTTTAGTTTAGTCGACGTTTTGGTTTTTGAAGGTATTCTAGAATTTAGGGTCAAAGGGGACTTCGTAAAACTTAGCGAAAGTCAAGCGGGACTTCGTTTTGAAAATTACCTGGTGCCAGCTCGTGCCGAGCCCTGGTACGGTCATCGGAACGGCCTCTACCGCAGCCAAATTCTTGTATAGTGGTTAGTGCGATAGTCGCATGATTAATGCAGGTATAGGTTCAAATCCTTTTGTACTTTTGCACTGCCTCAATTGAGCTTGTTCGAGCAAATCTACTGGATACATTTTGCGCAAATAGTAATCATTTTTTCTAAATTTCCACATTTTTTGAAGAGTAAGGGAGTTTGATTAACTCGAGGATGCGAAAGAAGGCTAATTGAGGCAATGCAAAACTGAAAAACACAAAAGGACTCAACCTACACCTGCACCTCATGAGTCCATTGCACTAACCACTGAACCACAGCCACCGTTACTGTTGTTGCTCCGAACATATTTCACTGAGCAGCCAAATCCGCACGATCTATTACAACATCTTTGAGGAGATTAGCAGAAACGGAAGTGAGATTTGGAATCTGCGTCCCAAGGCCAGTGTAATGGTATACAACATATCTCAGAAGGCCGCGGACAACGAGTATCGTTTTCTTGTTAGCCAGAGTCGGAGTTCCCTTATCTGCAGATCAGATTCGATGTCACATCATTTTGTCTTTGTTGTGAATAAAGTCAATCGTTTTCTTACGCGAGAAGGATTAGCTTCTTTCAAAAACAAGGCGACGACGTTTAAAAAAAACACCAGTTCACTGCCCAGTATTCAGAAACCTCAGAATGAAAAAAAATCAACCTCAGAATGAAAATAAATCTCATAAGGCTTGATAGGGCCTCTTTGTCATGCTACCTCGATAAGCGGTAATTCAGAGGGGTATTATTGAGGCGCAATATAGGTGGGGGGGGAGGGTTAACCGGCGGTCGCTCACCATACATCTTGGTCGACCCTGGCTGTAAACAAGGCATTTGTTTGATGGGGAAGAACGTCGACGCGCTGTGCGTGCTTGCGAGAGCATTTGAGTAATTTTTAAATCGATGGGACGCGCTTCGAAGGCACCGTCCACCCAATCCACCCAAACTGGGGGTTCATGAGATTTAATGGCATACTTATGCGAGCCCCCACACCAGGCCAACCCCCAAGTTTCCCCGCAAAAGACTGCTTCCGGAGCGAGAAATCCGTTCCGGAAGGTACGTAATCCACAGCTGGTCACTCCGCCCGTTTTGCAGGTTTGGCGGGCTGCGGCGCTGACATAAGCCGGGCGTATAATATGTCGCAGCCATGTGACCTGCACTTCCACCCGTCCCGCTTGTTCTCAAAAATAGGAGTTTTTCGGGTTTTCAGGGATTTTCGACTTCGCATTCGAAATAAGGGCTTTCAGATGACCCGGAGGCGACAAAAACATGGAAGTCGAAAATTTGGGTGGACGGTGCTTTTAACGTTTGGATCCGTTGTATTCCCAACTTACCCAGGATGCGCCTAGGACCTGCAAAAACTCAGGATGCGCCTAGGACCTGCGCCTAGGACCTGCAAAAACGACCTGCAAACTGTATATCCCTTTTGTTTTCTCTCCAGAAAAAAAGTATCCAGATCGACCTATCAAGCTGTGCTTGCTATAGTGACGTTTACAATTCTAGATTCAAAACAAAGTATGGGACAGGGCCCGGCATGTTGGTCTCCAAGGGCCGTGAAAAAAAAGTCCCGCCTGACTTTTAAAAATTTTACGAGGTTGTTACGCAAAAAGAGTTAGCTTACTTCAAAAACAAGGCAACGACATTCAAAAACAACCTTTTCACTGTCCAGTGTTTTGAAACCTCAAAATGAACTGAAACTTGGTCCAAAGAGATTATTTCACATGTTAGCCACAAAAATGAATCTCATAATGCTAATAGGGCCTCTTTGTCATGCTCACGATAGGTAAGCGGTAAATCAGAGAGGTCTTATTGAGTGCAATACGGGGAGAGGGGAAGAGGGGAGAAGGGGAGAAGGGAGAGAGCTAAACGGCGGTCGTGCGCCATACATCTTGCTCGACCCTGGCTGCAAACAAGGCATTTGTTTGATAGAGCTTCGCGCTGTGTGTTATATTGCTAGAGCATATAAGTAATAATTTTGAATTGATGGGATGCGCTTCAACGTTTGGATCCGTTGTATTTCCAACTTTCTCAGGGATGCGCTTAGAACCTGCAAAAATGTATATCCCCTTTCTTTTTCTCTAGAAAAACAGTATCAGTTCGACCTTTTGTGCTGTGCTTGCTACGTTTACATTCTTAAATTCGAAACAAAATATAGAACAGCTCAGATAATCGCCGGGGGTAGGCGGTCCGCAAACTCGCGCTTTTCTGCAGGCGATCAGCAGAATTTTGGGGCGTGGCCAAACCTTCAGCGGGCGGCACTTCCTTTACGATCGCATATTCTGCCAGCGGGCAGCAATACAGTATTTTTTGCAAGCGCTCGGCAAATAATTTCTTTCAGCGAGCGCTGGCCAAACTTTCA